GCTATATAAGTGGAAACGTCTCAAAAGCTACGTTAAACACTTTTCACTTCACCTCAACGTGTAGCACACCTTCCGTGTGTAAACAATAGAATCTCGTTCAGACAATCCAGTCATTAATAATACGAGCATCGACCCATGCCGTCGGGTATACGACACCACGCTATCAAGTAAAATATCAAGCCAGTATATCCATTGACGTAAGTGCAACTGAGTAAGGTGTCAACGATCCGTGTAAGGTCATACATAGTATGTGATAGCATGGCGCATCATGTTGAAAAGCCACGTATCATATTAAGTATGCATATCTGAATGTCAACCATAATATATCTGGAATGAATCAACCAGGACTTTGATGGTGAAGCCGTCACTGCAAAAGCTTAGTTGTGAGCAAACTGTGTCTTTGGTGAAATTTTAATAAAATGCGTATTTTGTGAAAATACTTCAAACGATTGAGGAATGTGGTCGCCATTTGTTAAGCCGTTTAATGCGCTAGTAGGATTCTGGCGCATCCAAATATATAATAAAATAGTACAGAGTCTTATAATTATAGCCCATTATAAAAACAAATATATATCGTGACAAATGTCAAAAATTATCACTTTACAACAAAACGATTTTGGATTTGTTTTGATTGCACTGCCCTAAACTTGTTACAGGCATCTGTATCCACAATGAACAAAACTATCATCTGTACATGTCCACTTGATAGTGTGATGTTGTTGTTAACTAACTTCCTGGTTGGTAGCTTGCTGTACATTTGATCACATTGGCTTCACACAGATCGCACTTACGTCCCTGTCTCAGTAAAAAGTATGCTGTTCTCGTTACAATTCTAGTGCAAATGCAAATGTTACAATAGACTAAAATGTTCAGAAGCGAACCCCATTTGCTGACGATTTAAAACTGAATGGTCATACCTCCCGGACTTATTTCAAACAGATGCGTATGGGCATTGCAAGTACGTCAGGTTTTGGGAAGGTGTTTGCCAGCAATAGGAATTGCAGTGTACACAAATCCGGAGGCAGCAATCCCAAACCCAGTAAGTCAGTTTTCTCTCATGATGGATGTGATTCTACAATAATTTCATACGGACGCACCAATCGCCTGTATTTGGTTTTCGTCTGTCCAAAATACGAGAAGCATCAATATTTACAAACTTAAGACACTATTAACAGACAGGGATGTCAGCTGTCTCCATTTTTATTCTCATTTTTTATTGATGACATTGTCGAGGAGTTGGAGTGTGATGCTCATGGTGTTACCTTACATACTCTAGAACTGTTCATCTTGTTGTTCGCCGATGACATTATTTTTACGGACGTGTCAGTTGTTGGTCTTCAAAAGCGACTTGAAAAACTATCTTTATATTGTGATAAATGGAAACTTACTATTAATACTGATAAAAGTAAAGTTGTCATTTTTAGAAATGGCGGAAAAATTTAGGATAGGAAATGATGATGTCACCACAGTATCGAATTATAAGTATCTCGGTGTCCAGTTATCCTCTTCTGGCTCGTGGAGTTTAACTCAGAAGACATTAGCCCAGCAAGCTTGGAAGATGATTCAAATCCTCCAGTCTAGACTAGGTAAATTCTCATATCTGCCACCAGATGTCTGTTTCAAAATGTTTGATGTAAAAGTGTTACCAATTTTGACATATGCATCGGAAGTTTGGGGATTCCATGCATCACCTGACATTGAAAATGTGCACAGTAAATTCTGTAAATTGACTTTGGGTTTGAGTAGAAACACACCAAATAGCTTTGTAAAATCTGTCTTGATGAGAAACTCCGTCAAAGTGTCACATTATTTAAAAATTATAAAATTTTGGCTTCGACTATTGATACAAGATAATAATTTGATTTTGAAAAAAACATAGTTTTCAAAATAAAAGGGCAGAGAATGGCAACGCTTGCTGGCCACTCAACGTTAAATTATTGCTGTTTTCTTACGGATTTGCAGAGGTATGGCTACAACAGGGTGTTGGTAGATCTGACTTATTCTTGCATCAGTTTAGGCAAAGGAGCGTAGACATTGAAAATCAAGTGTTGCACAATAATTGTGAATCTTGTTCTAAGCTTGAATTGTTCTCTGCAGTAAGGGATAAATTTTCATATAATAACTGGATTCGATTAATTGATGTAACATTATTTCGAATTAATATCTTGAATTTTCTCGGATCCAATCATCGTCTTATGGTTGAAACAGGCAGATATCATAATATACCAAGACATGAACGTTTCTGTCCCCTCTGTGTTGTAAGTGCTATCGAAGATGAGTTCCACTTTTGTATGGTGTGTCCGTTCTATCTTGATCTGCGGTCTAATCTCATACCCAATTATTATCACATGTTTCCAAGTCGTGAGAAAATGTTCTTATTATTCAGCTCGACTAATCAAAGTATTTGCAACAATTTAGCAAAATATGTATTTCTTCGTGGTAAGAAACGTAATTCCATTTTCAAGGGAATACCTGTGTCATATAATTAAATCCAATATTAACAGTTTGAACACTGCATTGTAAATCTTATAATTCAGCGCTCTGTCACATTTGTATGCCATCATGCTCTGCACGTGTATAATGGGCCGGTGGCCTCATTACCTAAATAAAAGCATCAAATTAACAAAATAAGAATATGCGTCAGCTAGTGTTATCATTAAACATTATTGTAACATATGTTCATGCAGTAAGATATATGTTCCCAGTTTTAACACGACAGTAGATTTATTTTGCGATAGAAATGATTGTTTTTAGTCTTTTACACGTTGTTGCATTGAGTCATGATCGAGATGGACACCCTCACCCCATGATGGCATGTCTATCCCTCTTCACTTCGGACACAGGATATATAACATATTTGCAAGGTGCCAGGAAGATGTTACAACGATGATTCGCGGAAAACGTGTACAGTGTAATGAGAGAAACATCTACGAGCACAGAGAAATTACGGGTTATCTGTCCTTCGTGAATTAGTGTTCGACAAGGTTTGAAACTTTCATACTTAACCCACTCGGGATAGATAATCCGTTATTCCTCTTTACTCTAAGGTTATTCTTTGTATTACCCATGATCTTCCTCATCTCAAATGGAGACATCGGCACATTTACTCTAATGTTGGAATGACGTCATATAAATCGTCGTGATGTCTTGAACTATGTAAGACATTACTAAATTTGATGAATCAGTGACTAAAATTATTTCTCGTTTGACTTGTACCATATGTCCCATTGTTTCAGTTTGCTGAAAATTGATTTTGGCACTGGTGGAGCAGGATACGCTCACCTTTCCGCGAACACCTGATATTGTAAATATTTGATAGTGATTCATAAACACATCCATATGAAATAGTTTGAACTGAATAATTGACTGTTATGGTAATGTTATCATATGGAAAAATACATTTTATTATTTCTTCCATTTGGTCTTATATCCTGTCTTACTGCGTCACTGCATTACATGAGTGACGCTGTACTGTGTTTTTTTAAGTATTTACTTATAGTTTATGTTGGTGTCTTATTATGTACAGCGGTGATACCTACATAAATATGTTCTGTCTGTTTGTCCATAGTGAGGGCTTCTTCACACCCTTACAATAAGTCACGTGTTGTAAGACGCTCTCTCATGGGGCGTAATATATCATGGATTGTTAACGGAATGCTAGCCATCTGCACGGGATAAGAATTAGCGATGCTTACAAAGGCAGAGTGCAGTAATTGTGCTTCACTCGTAGAATACATGCATAATATACGTTTGTGTACACACAGTAAAACTACCCACGACCAATTGCCCAGCGATTTACGAAAGAGAAAAAATACTACAAATAAATACTAATAAAAGTTCTTGAAAAAAAAAAAAAATTATATGCATACACACACACAAAAATATATTTTTAGATACTTATTATAAACATGTATAAGTTGACGTATTTTGCATAAAATGTCATTTCAGGCTTTGGAAGCGTAAAAGATAATGTCAAGGTTGGATACTACTATATATATAAACTTCTGCATTCGACACATTCTGTCCACAATGACTAAAACGTTCTAATCTAGTATCTAAAAGGGACAGGACATAAAAACATGCATCTCATCTTCGACTGCTTGTGGACAATTAAAAAAAATAGCATACGGTACATTCTCATATCGCCCTGTCTCTGCACGGAAAGGCGCCACACCACATCTAAATTTCACGTAGGCGCTTCTGCTTCCGCAGGGTAGGGGTAGAAAATTATTATTTCAATTAAAATCTCTGGAAAAATGTCACGAAAGAATAGACGGAAAATCAAATATTGAAATGTATTATTTGACGAAACCATATGTATATTGTATAAGCTTATGACATTCATGACAACTGTAAACTAATTATAAAATCGTTATACGATAGACGAAATGTAAGGAAAAGATTACCAATCTTCATAACAATCTTATTACTTGAAACTTTGTTTGCAACGTCAAAAGTAGAAATAAGTGTTTGACACTAACCATTGTGGTAGCAATTTTGACAGTGACAGTAGTCTATGCCAGATAATACCCTTATCACATTCTACTCTAAACTGTTACCATGGCAACTTGTGAATGGTCCACATGGTTGCTATGATTCAAACAAATCTGGTATCATGCAAGGTCGAACTAGCAGTTGTCACTACTAGTGTTGCTAGGGTTGTGTGGTTAAAACCCTTGTTCGTAACACACTCGCGACTTGTCCGAGAAGCTGATCATCACGCGAAATATGCATTTTTCTGGTCCGCCGATCAGTGTTGCAGGCACAACGTATAAACACAGACTTGATATGTTATTGGTTAAATATTCCAGACATATTATCATCTAGTCATGAGAGGAAAGTCACCTAGGGACAACATATTACAAGTAAGTAAGATACATAATTCCAGTTATAGACACTTCGACTAGAACTGTGATGATGATACATATTCACACCTTAGATTTCCAAATGACCAAGAGCTACCATGGATAAAAGTCAAATTCTGAATGAAATGAACTTACCTGCGATGAGAAAGACACACCACAAGAGAAACAGAAAATACTCCAACGCGGACAACATGCTACCATGTACAGCTAACGTGACAGCAAACTGAAGTACAGCCCAGCACCAGGATGTACATATATGTATTCAGACGTATGGCATAAGTACTTTGTAAATAACGCTACGTATACCCCCCGCATTTTACTAAAATAGGATTTTTTTCAAGACGCATTTCTAAAGACTTTTTATAATGTAAACATAGTTCAAACATACCGACGGAACGTTCTTATACATATAAATGTTCAGTTACGTCTTTGTGAATTTCAAAGACCTTATCCTTAGGGCATGTATACATGCATACGTTCATTTCTCATTTCAGACAGGCATATTTACAATGAGATGTTTTCTTTGGATAATATGATGCCATTATGCCCATAGATCAGATTTGATCATTACTGCATTGTTATAATCGGTACATCTTATTCAGGACACACTGCATTAAGAGAAAGTATCTTGTTATCAATGAACATGCTTGAAGGAATACAATTCAAGCCATAACTGTATATGTTTTCAATATTAGCATGTTTCTAAATTTGAGGAGAAAAATCCTTAATTTTTTAATGCATTACTATATTTTAATTTAGCGACATTAGAAAACAAACATTTCATTTGAAAATTAACATGTGTGTCTCGTACAAAAACGTATGTTTCCAACTGTTTTCGAGACAAAATCATGCGCATGTCCACTAAATATTCTACAATACGTGGGTTGGTATTCACAGAACTCAAGCATCAAGCATTATATACTAAAGGAAACGAATAAGAAAATATGCTTTACTGTCAGTACATTTGAAAAAGCGCACATACAAATTCAACACATCAGAATCAAATGTTGAGATGTGTTTGTGTGCATTGTTTCCAACGCGTATTTGGCAGACAAGGCTGGGAACCCATGATAGCATATCATTTAAGTCTAAAACTAAGTGTTCCCTATTTCTATTTCTATCAGTATATATGGATATATAATGATATATTCCGAAGAATTGGGCCGTGATTGTAGTATCAGCTGAAAGTTAAGGATCGGGTGGTTAAACACTGTAACCTTATAGTGTTATTGTGGCACGTCCGTGTTAATCGCTGCTCATGCAATAAGTATATATTGTCTGGACCAGGTTTGACTTCACTATTCGTGGCTGTGGTGTTAACACCATGGATTCACTAACAATGTGATTATAACTGAACACTGTATACGTTGGAACAACTCTTTGAGTTTCAACACAATGTGAATTGCGCTATTAAGATCTAAACGTGACATCCATTGTAGAATCTTCAAACCAAATTGATATTTTCTGAATCAAACTGTCCATCCCTTAACATCAATAGTAGAATCTTCAAACCTATTAGATACTTTCTCAATTATACTGTCCATCCCTTAACATCAATAGTAGAATCTTCAAACCAACTTGATATTTTCTGAATCAAACTGTCCATCCCTTAACATCAATAGTAGAATCTTCAAACCTACCAGATACTTTCTCAATTAAACTGTCCACCCCTTAACATCAAAAGTAAAATCTTCAAACCTACTTAATAATTTCTTAACCGAACTGTCCTGTCATTAACATCAATAGTAGAATCTTCAAATCTACTGGATACTTTCTGAATTAAACTGTCCTGCGCTCAGCATCAATAGTACAATCTTTCAACTTATTGAATACTTTTTGAATCTAACTGTCCTGTCTTTGGCATCGATAGTAGAATCTTCACTCCTACTGCATACTTTCTGAGTCAAACATCGTCAAATCCTCCTGGATACTTTCTGAATTAAATTGTCGTGCCCTTACAATATTTGCGTGTGGAATCAAGCAAATGTGAATGAAATAGGCTAGAAAAGGCTGCGGCCATTAAAATAACTCCGCTCTCTTGGCAGATGTCCTACACCATGTGAGCCGACGCCCGGGGTGATGAAACATATGTGACGTCTAGGCTTAATGTAGGGAGGTCGATACTTGTTACAAAAATATGTGTGGTGAATGTAAACATGCCGTTAAAGCTAAGTATTATAATAACAACATTGTAAGTAATATAACACAGTGAAGTTTGAAAACGTCATGCAGTTGTTGTCGAACAACCATGAGGTTACAACCAACGGGCCCCATTCTAACTTCTAAAATAGCCTGCTGATCATGACAGGATGACATCATAACGCCTCCGAGCAACTGCATGTCTCCCTCATCATTTTCACATTGGGGCATTACAGTCCTGGCAACTAAACATATTGTGGTTTGGATCAGTGTTTTGTTCAATTCTATGCATTTTCAAATGACCGCCACTCCTCTCACCCAGCCTCCCCCTTCACACAGACCTACTCCACTTGCACTCATTTCATTAGTTCACTCTAGGTCGACCAGGAAGGAATGCTGCATCAGTAGTTCCCGAGTAACAAGTTTGTATTAGACCAGGATGCCAAGTACACACTTGACACTATGGATCGGCATTGTGTTGTGTTATATCTGATCATGAAAAAACTCTAGTGTGTTCTTCCTCCGCAAACCTATTTAATGCTGACCAGGAAGTTGCCTACAATAGGATTTGATTCAGAACATACATGCTGTATAAAAATATAATGCTATTCTGGTACTTTGATTTCATAAATCAATATATTTCCCAGTTCAAATGGCAAATCTGTGGTGAACAAAAATATGTACAGTGTACAAGGAAATATAGATTATACAAATTGTTTAACGAATGTAAACGTGTCCCTTTCAAGTAACAAAATATATAGAGGTTATCATTTGTGTCATTTTCAATACACCTTATGAACCCGAGTCTTACACATAAACCCGAAACTCCAATAGCCATCCGAGAAGCACACATTGACCCGAATTAACCATCTATTTATGACCGAAAATATCCTCGCGCTAATAAAATCCTTTAGACCTGAAGGTTGGTATGTTGGTTGGTTTGTTGCTAAACGCTGCACTCAGCAATATTCCAGCTATATGACGGCGGTCTGTAAATAATCGAGTCAGGACCAAACAATCCAGTGATAGATATCATGAGCATCGATCCACGCAATTGGGATCGATGACATGTCGATCAACCAAGTCAGCGAGCCTGACCACCCGATCCCGTTAGTCGCCTCTTACGACAAGTATAGTCACCTTTTACGGCAAGCATGGGTTGCTGAAGACCTATTCTACCCCGGAATCTTCACGGGTCCGACCTTAAGGTAAAAATTGCTATTTTCGAGATTGTGTCCCTGGTTGTTGTCTTGTTAAATTCACAAAATCGTCATGAACCAGCTTGTAGGAGATGTTAACATCCTCCAAGGACATCACAGAATGCGTGTACGTCTACATACATGTTCATATAGATTTGTGAAGATTCGGGGTAGAATAGGTCTTCAGCAACCCACGCTTGCCGTAACAGGCGACGATGTCGTAAGAGGAGAATAACGGGATCGGGTGGTCAGGCTTGCCGACTTGGTTGATGCGTGTCTTCGCTATCGTATCCAAATTGCGTGGCTTGATGCTCATGATGTTAATTACTGGATTATCTGGTCCAGAATCGGTCGGATATCTGGAATACTAGTATTGCTGAGTGCGGCGTTACGTGAGTGAGTTGGGTTTAACACCGCTTTTAACAGCAGGTGTGATGCAGGTCTCAGACGTTTATCACCTCGGGCATGGTGCTGTCAAACCTGGAAACATAATTTGGGCGCCTCGGGATTCGAACCCACAATCATAGGTTTCTGGCGTGCCCAAGGGACGCAACTCTGCACAACGAATCGCGGCGCCTTAGACAACTGGGCCACCCGTGCCCCCGCGGCGTTAAGCAAAGAACAAAGAACATGTTCATATACATTTAGAAATCAACAGGTCAAACGAACAAATATGCAAAATACTTTTCTTATTCATCATTTATTTATTAAGCAAAAGTGCAATCTCACAATAATGATACAGAAAAATATGAAGTCTATGTTGAAAAAAGAACATGCTTAATTACAAAGGTAAGACTACCTATCTCTATGTCGCTCTTTCATTATCTAATCTAATTATCAAGAGCAACCATAATATCAAAATTTAGAGAGTCTATTTTCAAACTTGCTTTCACTGGAGACACGTGTATGGTTATTTGACACTGCTCTGGCTTAGAAAATTGACATTGATCACAGAATTGTTGATTGTCCCACCAAAGATAGAGCTAAGTGTGTGAGACTGACTAGCTGTCACATTGAAAGTTTGGGATGGAGCCAAGACGGTAAACGCTCGGTAAAAGCCGGAACACAGAGAAGTGATTGGGATGTGCAAGAATCACTAGGCCCCGCTAATCAACTTACTGATGTTTCATGCTGCTCTTTAGATGTTTGAGAATAGTTATTGACACTCTGCACATTTCCATGGCCACTGATTTGCCTTATCTGAGCAGGTGGAGCAATTTTTTCAGAAAAAGGTTGGACCACATACTTTCGGGCGTTATGATTCGTCAGCCGTTTGGTGGATTCAAGTTTTTCATTTGCTCCTATGCGTTTCATAATGGACCCAATCTTATTGATACCAACAGGCTATCACTTCAACCAAGGCTGTGTTGGGGCGGGAGTAATTTTGGAATTTGTTGCCAAGTAAAATCGCGCGTCATGGCCACTAAAAGCATGTGCTCTCAGGTTGGCATTGCGCTTATACCCAAAGACGAGGCAGCATGTTGCTCAAGAGTCAGTCCGAAAATCTTGAATGTTTACATCAGTGCTTTTTTTTGGTTTGATGCCCTGAGGACTGCAAGTACTCCATGCCATTTGCATCTTGATTTAGGGTCGCATCTCCCCAGTGCATATTTCTATGAGGAGAAATGCTGCGAAGCCCAAAATGAGTCGTGGTGTGCCACCAAAGCGTATTCAAAATTGACTCGGGAGTTTCGAGACCTAGTTCGACGGATTTCTCTTCTCCCTCAGGGACTAAGTATGCATTCGTAAAATATCGATTACCTTCTTGTTTTAGTATTTGTGTTTGTTTTTCAGAACCCCCTTGACATGTGCAACCTCCGTATCGTACTTAATTGATTTCCCGTAGCATTTGTTTTGAGGTGCCTGTCAACACTGCCAATCATACCCCTCAAACTTGTCGGCTCGTAATTCGACCCGTCACTCTTTTTTGATTATCCTTATGAATTGGCATAAAAAGTTCAAAAAGTTCATCGCCCGTAATAGCGTCTAGTTGGCAAAAACCATTTTCCTCGGACATGAATCTCGTGATGATTTTCATGTCATACGTGTTTTTCCTAGAAGTGTTCACATTCTGGTTTGTTGCAAGAAATCCAAAATTTTGGAATCGTCACAGTATTTTGGCGTAACGGGTATTTCACACTCCTTTAGAGGCACAGACACAATATATAACAACTCATCTTTGAGGAATTGATCGAGATTGACAATTTGTAGTCATTGTCTACAATGGTGGGTGGGGGCGGTCGGATAGCCTAGTTGTTAAAGCGTTCGCTCGTCACGCCAAAGACCGGGTTCGATTCCCGACATGGGTACAATGTGTGAACCCATTTCTGGTGTCCCCCGCCGTGATATTGCTGGAATATTGCTAAAAGCGGCGTAAAACCATACTCACGCACGCACAAAGGTGGGTGGGGGTAACATGGCCGAAAGAGTCTCCAGAGTGTGTTCCACTACTTGCTTCATGGAACCATCATCCAGTTTAACGTTGAACATGCTGTATGTTCCTAAAGGACAACCGATAACCCCCACCCCCTCAGATGACCATCAATTTTGACAGTCACGTTTATATTATTTATACCTTCGGTTGCCATTTGTATATATATTATCAAGAGCAACCATAATATCAAAATTTAGAAAGTCTATTTTCAAACTTGACAGCAACCATTTTCTTTGGTCCCATGATTTATTTATTTCCGTGCGCACGCGCTTTCGTGTAATACAACAGTTTCTACTGTATGTTTTTTTAAATGGGTGATCTCTTTACGGGCGAGTGATAAATATTTATATGCATCTATGCATGTAATGATTGATCTGCCATTTAGTGTTCTTCCCACACATGTATTGATCCAAACAACTCTATTTCTGAATCCATTTTCTGTATACAAAATGTATCGCTCATACCATATTTATGACGATCTAACATATCTTCATTCGACCAGTTACTTTACATATTAATCTACTCAAATATTATTGATCATTCCCACACACCCATCCTATATCCTCGCTACAAAGAAATTATGGACACAATATTGTATAATGTACATACATTATCTTCACGACATTATATATTATATTATATATTCATGACAAACACATATGTTTATTTGATGTTATCAACCATTGAGGAATATTGCTAAAAGCAACGTGAAACCATACTCGCTCATTGTCAATCATTTACACAAATAATATCATTCATATTATCCGGGAGGGAAATCAAATCACGAGATCCATACATGTAGTACAGGAGCAAAATCAAATCATAAGATTTACAATGTAAAACATGATCGAAATCAAATTATAAGATCCATACATGTAATACAGGAGCGAAATCAAATTATAAGATCCATACATATAATACAGGAACGAAATCAAATTATAAGATCCATACATGTAAAATAGGAGCGAAATCAAATTATAAGCTCCATACATGTAATACAGAAGCGAAATCAAATAAAAAATCCATTCATGTAATACAGAAACGAAATCAAATAAAAAATCCATACATGTAATACAGGAGCGAAATCAAATTATAAAATCCATACATGTAATACAGAAGCGAAATCAAATTATAAGATCAATACATGTAATACAGAAGCGAAATCAAATTATAAGATCCATACATGTAATACAGACGCGAAATCAAATTATAAAATCCATACATGTAATACAGAAACGAAATCAAATTATAAAATCCATACATGTAATACAGAAGCGAAATCAAATTATAAGATCCATACATGTTATACAGACGCGAAATCAAATTATAAAATCCATACATGTAATAAGGGGGCGAAATCAAATTATAAGATCCATACATGTAATACAGAAGCGAAATCAAATTATAAGATCCATACATGTAATACAGACGCGAAATCAAATTATAAAATCCATACATGTAATAAGGGGGCGAAATCAAATTATAAGATCCATACATGTAATACAGAAGCGAAATCAAATTATAAGATCCATACATGTAATACAGACGCGAAATCAAATTATAAAATCCATACATGTAATAAGGGGGCGAAATCAAATTATAAGATCCATACATGTAATACAGAAGCGAAATCAAATTATAAGATCCATACATGTAATACAGACGCGAAATCAAATTATAAAATCCATACATGTAATAAGGGGGCGAAATCAAATCATAAGATCCATCACAGCTATAAACAATATTTCATGAGGGCATTTACAGTTGCTAAATATTGAGTATGTACACACACGTGTGTTTACTACATATGAGTATGTTTTCACACATCTACATATACGTGTAACAGCTACTATTTTTACACAGGTCATTTTAACCCCATCATTATTTACAATGCACGCATCTAATTCAACTACTTTTTCATATGTATTCCCAATTGTCATTATACAAATTATGTTTTCTCCATCGTACTAGATTAAGTTCAATCCACAGATTACCTCATTCTTATACGTGTGCATATACAGAGACTAATCTAAAATGGTTCACATTGATCATGCAGAGACATAGGGTTCTCCTGGTGAGTGTTTGACATACATCTATGTAAATAAATGTACTCTTGCTGGTCAATATAAATCATACATGTACACGTATTTGCTCATAGTAGTCAATGACCATAAAATCATATAACGGTCAGTATTTATCAGTTATCAATATTAACTGTTAGTATTCACACTATACCGGATATACATATACAAAAAGGTTGTGGGCTTTTCTATGGTTTGATGTACCCTCAGTGGCCGTGTACCCCCTCCGAAAGTATCTTACCGCCATGTCCATTATTTACCACAATTAGGAAACAAGACCAGATTGCCATTCAAATCATTTGTTTGTCGTCATATTATTATACGAAACTTCACGTATATCTACACTAAGTACTGACATCCACCCATCCATTCATTCAGGTGCGGAATATATATGCCGCAGTTCGAAAAAACTCGTAGCCGACGACGTAAACGAATCCAGTTACTTTCTTTACCAAATGCATTCGGATAAACATCGGTTCATTAAAGAAACTCAACGATATTTATGCAAGATAAACAAGTTACCTATGATGTATTCCGATAGATTTCTCTGCGGGATACATGAGCGGGCTCCATTGAAAATAATTGCCCTCTCCTTAACTAATCAGAGGACAGTATGTAATGTGAGGTTAGATAAAATATTATGTCATGAAGGATGGGAATATATTTCCTTGTTGCTCAGTGGCTAAAGATTTTTTTACCAGTATTTACTGCAATAGTTACTACATCAGATGCAGTTAGTAGTTCGCATCAAACTGAGTCGTACTTTCATTTGGCTACAGATTGGCATATATTCCAAAGTTCTCCATCTGAAGTTGTGCAAATTTCAGAGCGAATTTGACGTCGGCCTAGAAAATAAAAAGAAGTGTCAGTAACTAATATAATGATTAAGTTAAAATATATAATGTAATTCACAATCTGTGACTGGAAACACAATGTTAAGACTATATTTGACTAACATTGTGAATGGTCAGATTCGGGTTTAACGCCGCTTTGAGTTATATATCAGTAACATCACAGAGTGATGCAGGTTGAGGGCCTTTACTGTTTTAGTTAAACCCAAAAAACATGTACAGTTATGATGCAGACAATCAACGTCTCATGATCTGTCGGTTACAATATTCCAACCTACCTTCAAATGGGTCGTAACTGCACACATGAAATCGCGGTTAGTCACTATGTGTTCTAGACGTTTGCTTCAAATTGCATATACTTAATCTATACTTCTTTACATTCGGATGCGCATTAGCCAGATTTTACCTCGGTAAAATACGTCTGTCCTACTTCCCGGTAAAGGCGTCGCATGTTGTTGATGACGTCCACCCTGCCGTCGTCCTTAAGTCTGCTTGCGATGTTCACCAGGAGGACCAGGAGCCTCGCCTCGCTGACAGACCTGCAGTAACGTGTCAGTACTTATAAGAATTCACATGTACACACAAGAAAATGCCACGAACCAAGAACCGCTGATAGACCTGCAGTAAAGTGTCAGTACTTATAATTCACATGCACACACAAGAAACTCCACAGAAAACCCAATATATCATGATCATACATGATCATACAGTTGGACAGCGAAGACAAGATCCGGTCACTTACTTGGAAATGATGGTGCATCGCCTGCGATCTGGTTCAGATGTCCACTGAAGAAGGCTGTCGATCATGATACCCGCGTTAGGACTGTGCACACCGGTTTTCAGACGGTAGTGTCGTACTGGAACAACTGAACTGTCCTGTAACATGCAGTTATCAATAATCTGTTTGTTATGTTACATGCATGCAACATTCAACGAAATAATGCCCTTTTTATATTTTATGATGCATGTTTTATTGGTAGGCTTGCGGGCACCTTGTTTTATTACTACTGTTACACTTGTTTTCTGACACTCTGATACTTCAATTTCTTGAAGTTTTACCGACTGTAGCTGTTTACCTTGATGTTACTATTTATCGTGTCAAGTTTGATGTCGTCAGCTATGATGCTGGAGCTTTTGAGCGTGGCAGTCTGCCTGGTGGTGGCGACTGGTTCATTTCCAGTTGGCATCAAACCCTGTAAGATAGAGAACACAAACACCTGATTAATATGGCATACCAGTAATGACAAGTCGCCTTAGCGTTTGGAAGGAAATAACAGGCCTTCACTTGTCCTCTCGACACAGGTAGATGACACGTTATGAAACTGACAGGCCAAGGTTCATAATCAGCACCAACAAAGAGCCAGGGTTTCGAGAAAGAAGGTTTCTAAATTAATATACTTATTATATGTTCTGCATGAGTGTAAGGAGACTGACCTTGGTAGATTGTCAGAGTGTAAGGAGACTGACCTGTGTGTATTGTCCGAGTGTAAGGAGACTGACCTGGGTACAATGTCCGAGTGTAAGGAGACTGACCTGGGTACAATGTCCGAGTGTAAGGTGACTGACCTTGGTGTATTGTCTGAGTGTAAGGAGACTGACCTGGGTAGATTGTCCGAGTGTAAGGAGACTGACCTTGGTGAATTATCCGAGTGTAAGGTGACTGACCTTGGTGTATTGTCCGAGTGTAAGGAGACTGACCTGGGAGGATTTTCCGAGTGTAAGGAGACTGACCTTGGTGTATTGTCCGAGTGTAAGGAGACAGACCTTGGTGTATTGTCCGAGTGTAAGGAGACTGACCTTGGTGTATTGTCCGAGTGTAAGGAGACAGACCTTGGTGTATTGTCCGAGTGTAAGGAGACTGACCTGGGAGGATTGTCCGAGTTTAAGGAGACTGACCTGGGAGGATTGTCCGAGTGTAAGGAGACTGACCTTGGTGTATTGTCCGAGTGTAAGGAGACAGACCTTGGTGTATTGTCCGAGTGTGAGAGACTGACCTGGGCTGATTATCCGAGTGTAAGGAGGCTGACCTCGGAGGATTGTCAGAGTGTAAGGAAACTGAACTGGGTGGATTGTCTGAGTGTAAGGTGACTGACCTTGTTGGATTGTCCGAGTGTGATAACTGTGCAACTGTTGCTGTTACAGACGTGAGCCCACAGATTCTCCTTGTCCACATCTGCCACGAAGAGGAAGAATCCATACCGACACCTGTAGGACTGAACACAACACCAAGTGATCAGTACATGATGGTCGTGTATCTGATGGTGCTTTGTAAATTGAGTACTTTTACAATTAAAGGTCTGTGCACATGTTATTTACCGAAAAAGATCTGAAGCAATACATTATGTTCCATATTTCTCACTCACTGGGATCAGTACAATCCGCTTCTTCTTGGTTTCTGAAATAATAATACATGCAAATAGAATTGACAATTTTAATTTGGGAATAATACAGAATATAGCAAGTTTGCACTGTATTTGAAAACTAGTCTCGCATCCAGATATAGAATACTGTTACGTACAGTAATTAAGTAAAGCATTCTTCAATGTACTTACTGACTTGAACAGATTCCAACGCCTACAAGAGAAACATAAATGTTTATCAACCAACATTAAAGCAATTACAAACAATAGCAATTGTTTATGTTTCTGAAAAACCTTTTGTGTCTCAGTTCTTAATTATGTTAAGGTTACAATCACTTTCCATAATGTTCATGAAAATAAGCATATTACCATGCCATCCATGTTTGTCACTGAGGCCATGATGATTTATACCATGATTGGAAAGACAGTTCCATTCTATTCCCAATTATGGCAAGGGCGTTAAAATGTTCCTCTATCACACAATGATATTAACCTGTAGATGTTCCTCAACAGTTCTGTTCCCCATGGTGACGGCGCCCATGTTGGCCAGGTCGATGTTCCTTATCGCATCTCCATCCACTGACGTATCTCCAGTCATCAGAGCTGCAGTCACAGCCCGGTACACAAATCCGTACTGATCCTGTGGACAAATTGTAGATATGCAGTCGAATGTAGACATAACAATATCACATACAGTAAACTACGCTTATAACGAACACGCTTATACCGAACTGACGCATATTACGAACTTTTTCGGGGTCCCGTCAATTTGCTGTTTATAGGCTGTATATGTTCCTGTAACGAACTACGGTTATAACGAACCATAATTTGTGGTCCCTTTCATTTCGGTATAACCGTAGTTTACTGTATACATGTAGCGTCAGATCTTAGGATCGTATTTTTATATTGTTCATGAGACATAATCATATTTTTATATGTTGTCACTATTCACATTTGTGTTCTTGTATGCAAAAAGAACATCATGACTGAACGGAAATATTGAACATATTATAGTACATGGTAAGTACTTTAAAGCTGCAACCAGCAATGTTCCAGCTGGATCGGAGCATGGCGTCCTGTAAGTTATCGGCTGAAAGCATGAGCAGCTCTCCATGCCACTAGGGCAGGATGACACAGCATCAGCTGAGTCACAGAGCCTCACCAGTCGATGCTCCTCCGTCGGCACATGTGACAAGGATGTTATACTTGGAACCTATTCTTCCCGGGATCCCCACGGGGAGGGAGGAAACATCATACTCATGCTGATACTGATAAGTTCCGAGAAGAATCACTAACCGAAGTCTGTATCATGTTCCTCCTCTGGCCTCTCATGGAAGAGACGAAGCGGACGACGTCCACAGTGTCCTCAGCCGTTGCCTGATCCAGGAGACTCTCTATCGCGATGTAGGTCCCTGTTCGGCCTATACCAGCACTGGGAAAGACAAAGCAGAATAAAGTAGCTCGGTGTATAATTAAAAAATATATTGTTAGCAAGGGGTGCATTGTAAGGATATGTGTACCTTTTTAGAAACCTGAATCAACCAATACCCTGTATTCCTATACCAGCAGACGTTTTTTAAAATTATGCCAAGCATCAATCGAGGCAAGTATTTTAAAAAAAACGTTCAATGACTATGATGATAAACAGTTCGTGAACCAGATAGTACATAGTGTATGCTGTTTGTAGCATCAGATGCTACCTAAGACGTGTTGGGATTTTCGTTCTGATTGATATTAATCAACAAGTGGATGTGTAAAGAGTTTGCTTATATGTCACCTGTTATTAGGGACTGGCCATTTCATATTCCAGGTGAGGGGGAGGGAGGGCCTGGGATATTATCGAAAAAATAAATTGTCCAAGAAATATTATGTAAATAATTTGGCTGAATTTGCATCAGTACTCCGAACAAATATCTTATCTCCGTATAAATTCAAACACGCTCCCCAAACAACCCAACACCCTTCCACTATCGGATATCAAACAGTCGGCCCCTAAGTAAAACGACTTACCTGCAGTGCACTATGACAGGCTCGGCGGGTCGCTCACAGACGGCCTTGACTCGCCACATGAAGTCCAGCAAAGAAAACGTACTGGGTACGCCGTGATCCGGCCATGACGTAAAGTTGAAGTGGTAGATCTGACGCTTCATGGATTCCTGGGAACATATCACTGTATATCGACCATCGTATCAAACCTCCCAAAATGTCTGTCATTCCGGTCTCAAAAACTATGCAAAACCAATAAGATCAAGCACACGCTGACACATTTGCATTGTTCATTTTCGTCCTGGCTTCATATTTATGAATCTACAATAGTTTCTGTGCAGCCAGTTTCTAATCGTTATGTAGCGTTCTTATATAGATACAGGAAGCCTTTTAGAAACTGACCCATCCTGAAACGTATCGAACGATAAAGACCATCGTGTTTCTCAACAACCAAGTGAGGAAATCACTCTTCCTGTTACAATCTGGCCACTATGGCTTTTACATGCGCATCAGTCAGTTGCTGTCACTGACAATTACTACAATAAACGCACATGGCATGTATCAAGTGATGCGCACTATATCAGGGTAAATATGTTATAGCAGACATGACAGTCGTTAATGGCGACTAACGGGATCGGGTGGTCAGGCTGGCTGACTTAGTTAATGCATGGCATCGTATCCCAATAACGAAGACCAAGGCGTATCATGTTAATTACTCGACTGTCTGGTTTAAATTCGATTATTTGCAGACCGCCGTCATATAGCTGGAGTATTGGTGAGTGCGGCGTCAAACAACAAACAAAGAAACACAACATGTAGGTACCTTATGATTTTTAACTCTGAGCCTCCTGATCGTGAAGTCCGACAGTTGGTCCACTGTTTCCATGGTTACTATTATGTCGCCATACTCCTGTGTTCCTTCATCCGGCCAGTATTGTAAACACTTCATCTGCAGGTTACAGCATCCACATTCATTCCAACACATAGAACCTATGGTTTATTGCAAGACTCGCATCCAGGTAGCTTCAGATTCCGTCTCGAAAAACCGGATGCCAGGAGCAATAAACTAACCTAACGTTACACAATGCACATGTTTATTTCCTTGGATAGATTGACACTCACTTCTGTTTATATTTCGCAAGCAGAATATTTCGTATATTTGTTATTCCGAAGGTGTATTTTATGATATACAATTTAACATTGTATCGCCATTGTATTGCTCTCCAAATATTTACCCTTCCACCTTCGACTAAGCTCGTCACCATGACGACAACCTTACAACCCTCCTGCCAGATCATCCTCCAGAAGTCATCAACGATGTTTGGTTTGTACGGACCTGCAGGAAATAAGCATCCAATGAGACCATGTCTATAGATTGGAATGGCGATTGTCTAACGGCGTTTCGAATGCAAAAGACCGTGCATGATAGATGGACCGTTTGTGTCGATATGAAGGTAACACGCTTCTGTCATAAAATCATTGTAAAACTGGGATTGTTCCCTACTTTGTCGTACCTTGAGCTGCAATGTAATACCGCTCTTTCTTGTAACCCTGCAGCAAAAAACATGATGTAAACACAAGGTATTCACACTTCCAATGTCGAAGAAACACACTAAATAATGTAGAATCAGGAAACCATGTTCCTGGAAAATGCCTGGAATGTATTCAGTGAACCTCGTTTCCTCTGACGTCAAATTCACGGTTTCCAAGTTACAGAAAAGAAACCTTAAACGTTTGTTATACATTTCAAGCGTATTGGTGATGACATGACATGACTATCAAAATGATACTCTCTCGGGGTTCCATTGCAGCTTACGAAAGTTTGACAGCTAGATCTAACTCACGTCCAGGAAGCTCGCGTTAATGTTAGTTGTACAAAATATTGGTGATGACGTAAATATCAAAATGATACTCCCTCACGGTTGTGTCGATCTAACTCACGTCAAGAAAGCTGGCGTTGATGTAGTCTCCCCTATTGCCGTCACTGTCATCGTGTAGCACCACACGGTTGTTGTCATCTGGGTAAAATAATAAATTATGAGTATGGAAGCATTACACATATCTGAATATTTCGCATAACATCTATATTTAGTTGTCTGTCAGTTTAAAAACAACATCTCTAGAAGCAGTTGAATGGGTAGCTATGATCACTTACATGGGTAGTATCCTTTAAATCGGTTCTTTTTCGTATTTTCAGGCTTTCTGGACTCATCATACGAATGTACAAATCCGTCGGGTAAACGCTAAAACAGAAACGCTGTCACATGGTAGTGAGTGGTTGGGTGAATATGGTTACACGCCACTTTGAACGGTAAATTTTGTTTCAGCACTACGTATTTGCTTAATGTAGGCATTATAATAAAACCCATGACCAAGAAACAGTGCTGATCTGGGATTCGAACCAACATTCACTGGTTCCTGGGACTCCTAATGTCACATAACAAGACATTACAAACTATGTATATGTATAACATTCGTAGCCATCTATATAGGCACCTTGTTATTTGGTAGTGTAGTATATTGTTAAACAATGATTGCAACTGTATTACACTGTTTCTGTTGAGATTCAGAAGACGTTCATTGCATTTGGACGATGATTAGTTGTAGTACTATTTAATGTAATTAGTGGTTATTATATTATCTGCTCGAATTATCTGCCGGAATAGCATGAATTGAGGTCAAGCGTAAAAGAAACATGTAGAATATTCTGTGATGTTATAGTGACACTGGACTGGTCAAGCATTGTGTGGAAAGAGCAGGAAGCTTGTTAGCTTATAAAAGTGGAGCGGACGCGTGCCTGTCTCATCTCACTTTTCATCGGAAATTTCATCTGACATTACACCAAGACCAGCTTTCATGTGAAGATCACTTTTCACGCTGGTGTTCAGCCTATCTTGGAAACTTGACCACTATTGCGGCGGGGTGATTATTATCTTGTCGTTGTCATTTCCACTCCTCTCACATTTTATACTGCCATTGAATATTGTACTACCATTCTTTTGTGTACTGTCATTATAACTGCTGTGCTATTATTTGTATTCATTTGTAAACCTAGTTAATTTTGAAACATGATTGTTGATTTTATACCACTTGTTGGTTGTTTGTTGGTTTCACAGATGTCTGGGTTAACATATTGTTTGAATTTTTGAATCGACACGAAACAATCTTTATACCACCAAACTAGGATGCATGTACCTTAAACTCCTCCTCGACCAGTTCTGGGTTGTCGTCCATGTTCTTGGTGGTAGTCTCCAGGTCAGCAACAGGGACGGCATGTCTCGATGCAACTTCATCCATGTTGTAGTAGTTCTTTTCAGGCACATCTGGTTCTCTTCCCTCCTCGTCGCTCTCTATCTCAAGAGTGTCAACACTCCTCGAGTCTACATCAAGAGTGTCAATGCTTCTCGTGTCTACATCAATATTGTCAACGCTCCCTGAATCTTCTTTATAGGCTTTGTTAGGGGTCGCATAGATAGGGAAGGTGTCGGCTCCCACGTTCATGTACACGTTGTCACCACCTAAAAATATTTTTCATGTCGAGTAGTTCAATTTAAATGTCACGACAACAAGACATACTTATATTACATTTGATTGGTGTATGGGGGTGCTTCTTCAAAGTATAACTGCCTGTAATGGGAGTACCAATAGAGGGCACCTGGTGTTACAAACTACAGGAGCAGGTAAACACCCATCTACATGAACGCACAACAAACTAAATTGTCCAATGATGACTACAGAAACAGCGAATTGCATTTACAGAAACTCTTACTAATTAACTTATTATAACTTTGTGAGGTAGAGCTGCATTGCGCGAATCTGTTTTAACCATAACACGTACTTTGAAACGATCGTTAATATTTCCACAATATCAGAACACCAAATATTTTTTCTCTGAATAAAATCACTACTTTGTTTTATTTATTTATAAAAAAGTATATTATCCTTATCAATTGTATATATTTTCAATGAGTAAGAATGAGTAAGAACTATATAAAACATGACAGTTGAAAATGATTTTGCAGTAAATCAGGGAAGTGTACAAAAAGGTATTTCTTTATAAGCATAAGACACGAACGAAGACGTTCCTGTTTATGAAGCACTCATTTTGTATTGTCAGCAACATACAGATAGCTAAATTATTTCAGGAAATCAGTGTAATATTGCACTGAGGTTATTCTTCGCAACTGTCAACGTTGTGCTCATAGTGTAATATGGCACAGTCAGAATGTACGCGATTACTTGTAGTAGTTTTCTGTCATACCCCTAGCAAAGTTAGGTTTTACTTATGCTCACCCCTCTGTCTTTCCTTTTGGGTGAAGGCAGCGTCCTGGCCTCTGGAAGACCTTAAATGTTTTCTTCGGCATCTGAAATCATATTGAATAATGGCATTACCTGTAAACAGTAATTGTGTTACAAAAAACTGAACAATCCAGACTCGCCCAGACAAACTCCCCATGAACACAATGTAGGTCAGTACATAAACACCTTTTTAGGCATAGTGGACAAACGTTATCCATTTGAGCTTAATGACATGCATTTGATGTAGAAGACAAGCGAGGCCTAGCTGAACACAACCACACTGAACTTGACAAGATTGATTCACTCTAACATTAACAATCGCTGGTGGACAAGCATCATCTGTCTGATCAAAATGACACAAGGCAGCTTCACCCATCTGCATTCAATCGCACAATTCAGTAGACGAACCTAACCCATTTGAATACAATGATACAATGAAGTAGACAAGCCCCACCCACCTGAATACAAGGACACAATTCAGTAGACAAGCTTCACCCACCTGAATACAAGCACAGCAAGCACAGTAGACTAACATTTAGTCTCTGAAATCTTATATTACACAATATCCTTCTTGACTCTAAAAATAAAAACAATTCTCTATGCTGATTTCAGATAGAGCTAGCTTGAGATGGCTAGACTTGCTTTTGTATGCATTTCTAGATTATTATTTTTTCATAAAATAAATATATTCCACGGTCATGGTGCAGGACTACAAGCACAGCTAAACCCACATGTATACAATCACACAAAGCAGTAGACAAGCTTCACCCACCTAAATACAAGTACAGCAATGCAGTAGACAAGATTTACCCACCCGCACACAATACACATGCGTAACACACCTGAATGCAATGACACAATGCAGTAGACAAGCTTTACCCACATGAATACAATGACACAATGCAGTAGACAATCTTAACCCACATGAATACAATAACAAGCTTAACCCACCTGAATACAATGACAGCAATGATGACGGCGAGAAGTAGCAGGAGTAACGTTCCCACCACACCACCGACCACGGTCGACCCGTTGCCCTCAGATTCTACTCCAAGGAAGAAAGGAAACAGTTTACCGGACAAGTTTGGCAACTGCATACACACAAACACGTGTGTATCATTGACCACACACGGAAGCCATCCAGGACAATCTCCACTGATGAAATTCGTTAGTTTCTTTGCACTCTTTTTCAGATTTTATGATAAGGCTTAATATAATTGCCACATTTGAATCCATATATGTCAAGAATTAATAAGGGTTGTTAATTAACGCTTTATCAGTAATTTTGTTTGCGCTTCGGAAAGATTGCAGTAAATAATTTCCTCTGTTGTCTAGTCTGTTCATTCTCAAAAGTTTAATTGAATAATACCAAACCTTTGCATTGTAATCCAATGAAACCTTCCAGGCAACCAGAAGGACATTCGCCTGTCCTGGAGTCACAGGTGTCATTGGCAGCACAGTGACCACAGTCAATACACCCAGGGCCATGGAAGCCTGTGGTGCATTCTGCAGTAAGCAAAATATTGGTTCAGTCAACAGAAGCAGCGTATCTTAGTGCTTGCAGGACATCATTTACAATGGATGCATGTAGATTGCATTAGATGTGAAAACACGTGGATGGAGACAACAAGCTGAAATATGCGCTCCATATATGTGTAATCAGCATACAAAATATTCGTCCTGACGAATAAGGTTTCAGAAATTCATCTTCATATCATTCATTCACAGCAGACCACACAAAAGCAGTTCATGATCACGCCCCCTTGGTCATTCACGTCATGTCGTTGATTGTGGGCGGCAGGACTAGATTACTTACAGGCCACAACAAAGGGATATGCGGCAGCTTCATGAAAGCCTCCGTATGTCATATATTCATAAAACATTCTGTAAGTGTTAATTTGATTACTTAATATAATAATTGTAATCCAGTTGCAAGGTAAACGCCTTGAGCAAATAATGTTATATGTTTTACAGGGGATAACGGTGGGATATTTTAATAGTAGAGATTGCGCACCTAGTGGATTATCTAGAGTCATTTTCTTTTCGCATTATCATACTGCGTTTAGGTGCTAATACACATCTTGTTACTTACCAGAACAGTCCGGTGCTCTCCACCCTTTGTCACATCCACCTGCGCAGCTCCCGTTAACCGTGGGGCAGGTCAAGCTCCCGTTACAGTGTCTGTCACTGCACTGTTTCAAACAGTTTGGGCCGTATGACTTACTGTCACATTCTGTAACACAACGGACACTCAACAGTTGATTAATTAAACACACAATAATGGGATATTATGCTCCAGCACCAAAGTAAATATAAACAATAATGTCGGTTTTGAAACATTTACTGCAATCAACACACAACGAATGTCACTGATCCATTTTACAAATAGGAAAATGTCATAGAACAAACCAGATGACGTCACTATTGAACATCAATGTGACGTCATCTAACAACGGGTGTGATAATGACTCGTCGTCAAAAAATATGAGGGCATTATCAGGTAACAGTGGCTCATTCCTGATAACATGCGGGCGGTTTAATGATAATTCTACCCAAGTTAGCTAGAGGGTTCTATATAACACAGTTTAGCATCACATAAACAGTGGATTGCAGCTCAGTGGGTATGCATACCTTAGGGTATGAACTACTCAAATATTAACGTAACTGTTATCGTATACATGTGTCTATAATATACACGTAGTAATAACGATGCTGGTATAGTCTCTATGATTTTACGAAGCCTTCTACCAGTGAGTGAGTGAGTGAGTGAGTATAGTTTTACGCCGCTTTTAGTAATATTCCAGCAATGTCACGGCGGGGGACACCAGAAATGGGCTTCACACATTGTACCCATGTCGGGAATCGAACCCGGGTCTTCGGCGTGACGAGCGAACGCTTAAACCACTAGGCTACCCGACCGCCCCACTACCAGTGAGGTGAGGTGAAGGCATATTGGGTTAAACGTCGCGTCCACAATTGTTGCACTTACATAACGACGAGTATGCACTTCTTGTTTTAGCCCCTTAATGCCGAGCGCCAGATAGGGTAACAACAAGTACCATCTTTTAACGTCTTTTGGTATGATGCGGCCGGGGATCGAACCCCGGACGCCCCGCTCTCCGGCCCGACGTTCTACCACAAGACCTCGGAGGCGGTCCCTTCTGCCAGTGCAAACAGGAAACCAGTTGATAACTCTTGACAACTTAAGTGGGTGAAAGTTAAAATCACACTTCGAATTATTTCCTACTCCTTCTGTTGCACATCACGAACATTCACTGCACTTCATGAAAATAGGCAGATGGTATGTACGCCTTGTTGATGGAGCTCAATTATTGAATTTTTAGTTAATAGATTAAAATTAGCCACAATGCTTTTCAAACACGATGGATATTATTAATCTTCAGAGTTCTGTGAGTAAGTGATTTTAAGTTTCTTTTAAACCCAACTCAGTCACTCACACACTCAGGTTTTGGAACTACCTACTTTCAGTACATGCGGTTCCCTTCCAACCAGCTTGACAAACACCTGTGTCACATGACCCTGTCACATGATTACACAAGGAGGTGTTCAGGGCACAACGTCTGTCTGCACACGCGCTGCTGCAGTTGATTCCATAGTAGCTACTGTTGCATTCTAATGAGGGAATAGAGATGTATTAGAAGCAACGATTTTCAATTTCTGCTTAAACGTATTGATCACAATGGACCGATAATTAAGTATTCAATATTCCATGAACAGTACATTGATAATATAAACGTAAATAGCAACGAACACTTTGATGAATGAACAGGAAGAATATACAATTTTAATTGAGGGGGGGGGGGGGGGGGGATTAATTATGTTAAAAAAAACAAATTCAGTGTCATTTATTTTATAAACCCATGTACATATCTCACTTTGTGTACAGTCGGACTGTCTCCAGCCAGCTCGACACCCAGTGTCACATGACCCGCTGCGGCGATCACATGACGATTTGTCACTGGTACACTTCCGGTTTTTGCAGGATTGATTGCAGTTAATACCATAAGACTCGTCAGAGCAGCCTAGAAAAATGTTCATTAACTGCGTTTGAAAGGTAAATGCATATGGAAGAATATTCAAAGTGTAACAGTTTTTTTATAGTTTATAGTGGTATTTCTGTTATTTGATATGTTAAAACGTGGATAAACATGAAGACTTAGAGACTTGAATCCCTTCACAAATGTAAGCAATATATTAAATACAAGAAAACAATATAAAAAAACTGTTAGCATTGATACTTTCAACCTCCTTTCCTATTATTATCAAAATATACATACACACGCAGATAAAGAGGATATTATAAATAGGTTATTTCATGTGTCGAGTGAAATATCATGTTTCTCGAAAAAATTTCCTTTTCCCCGTCACGAGATGAGAAAAACATGATATTTATTTCACGAGACACATGAAATATCCTATTTATTTTATACTTTTTGTGTAGTTGTCTTCCGAAAAAGAAAATTATTTCATTACAAAAGTAAATTCTCCCAACCTAAGAACGAGGGATGGTTCACCAACCCTTGAATTTGCGTCCAAAAACGAAGTTTCGTATTGGCAAAATCGGGATTGACGAGTTAAGTGAGAACTTTACAGTTTATAACGAAACAAAAAAAATAACAAATGTCATGAGGCGACATTAACTCAAAATATGTCCATCTGTATTATTTTGCCGTATCAATATAGAACTAACGTAAAAAGGAAGTCAACAGCTTGTGTAAGGGCCAGACACTTACGATGAAGGGAGACAATTAGAAGGGAGGTCACTCTTGTATGACAACAGTTCCGTTAAAGCGTTATGTTCACAGCAGAAACATATCAAGTGATATGTTAACTGCAGTGAAATGTCAAGTGTGTGTGAGTGTGTGTGTGTGTGCGTGCGTGCGTGCGTGCGTGCGTGCATGCGTGCGTGCGTGCATGCGTGCGTGCGCGTGTGTGTGTGTTGTGTGTGCGTGTGTACGTATGTATAAACAAGTGAACCCTTGAGGTGTATATGCGAGGCACTATATCAGTATTTGTGTCGTCATAATGTCTACGACGTATATATGCATACATGTATATGAGTACGGATTATTTCAGAAAACATATGATATTTGAACTATGATGAATAAACGCAGCTGTTGTTCACTCGTGATTCATTCCATGTATGATCAAACATGTCAGATGACATATAAATTCACGTTTCTTACGTGTGGAGCAGTTGTCTCCCTTCCAGCCTGGGCGGCAGTCACCAGGACACACCCCTGTCACGTGGTCGCATGTTGAATTCAGACAGTGACAGAACTCGCTGCAATTTGGGCCGAAAGTCCCATTTGAACATACTGTGATGGAAAATAAAATATGGTATTACAATGCAGTACATATTGGTTTCAAATCAAAATGACATCAGTTTACAGTTATCAATGACTCTTGCTTTTGACTTCCTAGGATTTAAGGGGCACGGGTGGCCCAGTTGTCTAAGGCGCTGGGATTCGGTGTGCAGAGTTGCGTCCCTTGGGCACGCCAGAAACCTATGATCGTGGGTTCGAATCCCGGTTCGCCATGATTATGATACAAGGTTTGTCAGCACCATACCCGTGCTCGTGGGTTTCACCGAAGTGGTAAACGTCTGAGACCTGCATCAATTCGGTCTTTCCTCCCACATTAAGCTGACACGCCGTGATATAACTGGAATAATGTTAAAAGCGGCGTTAAACACAACTCATTCACTCACTCCTGGGAATTGTTCATGGTATAAAGGTAATGTGAGGAAAAACACCAACCATATATCTCAACCTCACATATATTTAGGGTATCATCGTGCTGAGGTGCTCTACCGGGGTTCCTGATGATGAAGAATTTCCCTGTCCCGTTACATGTGAGGTCTATCACATCAGAGATGTTTTCGGGATTAGACGGGAATGTGTAGCACACTGTAACCGCATTAGATGTCAGTCCAACGGAGATGCTGCAGTTGGCCAGTCTACGGGGATCTGAAAAATTCACCAAGTGTTCTTGTGACTGTTATAGAAACATTTCTTGAATAATTTAATGTAACATCTAAACCTTATATATAATGTAATAACAGTAGTAACAGCACTAAACTTGATGTGATATCCAAAGCAAAGTGTTTATTATAAACATATCACAGATTAACATGTCCACAGAGGTCATTCCCAAGCAGCATCCTGACTGACTGCGTGTGTAAGCTAGCTACAGCTGTGGGATAATGCAGCTATGATTAACATGTGGAGCTGATACATGTATGACGTCCGTGACGTGACGCACTTCTATACTTTCATTATCCGTATAGGAGAGGTCGGGTGGCCTAGTTGTTAGAGCGTTCGCTCGTCACGCCGAAGACCCGGGTTCGAATCCCGACATGGGTACAATGTTTGAAGACCATTTCTCGTGTCTCCCGCCGTTATATTGCTGGAATATTGCTAAAAGCGGCGTAACACTATACTCACTCACTCACCCATTATCCGTATGTTCATTAAGACATATCATGTTATGAATAAATTATGTCATTATAGCAAACATTAAGAATTCGTTCTGGTAAAAGGAAACAGATTTGTTGAAAATAAGATCTAGTACAAAGTGTACTGAAGGCGTTCGCTTCATTTATGTATGGAATTCTTTCGCTTATAAAGACAAAGTCACAGACAGTGTAAGTTGTGGTGGGTGTGATAACATCTTACATCCAGCCCTGTTGTAGATCCTGACGGTTTGTATTCTGTACTCAGCTGCCAGGTCCACCCACCAGGAGGTCGGGTAGTCACGTGAGTGGTAGCAGGAGTTGTGGGTTACATCCTGGTCTCGGTTCCCGTCCACAGCTTTCCCTGCCGTCCACACTGGCAAGAAATCTCCTGAACCCTTTACCTTCTTTCTGTAGGCAATATTTTCTGTAAAATATCAGCCATTGAAATGAACTTGACAGATAAAGTTTGGAACCCTTATTGGGTATAATCTGACACAATACCATGACAGATGATGGTGTGTATGTATTTAACTCTTTGATTTGTTTGTGAGAAATGTCAAACTGAGATCGATTATGCAAATATACATAGACAAAGCCTCATTAGTCTGTCACTGACATGTTACATTTAGATACAGGATTCTTGAAAGGCATTCATGCTCACAATGAAGTACCAGGTTGTAGGGGTAACTGTGTTTTGTTTACGTTTGTAGCAGTTCATAGTTTTGTTTTCAGACAGTAATATATATCTATAAAAGGACACCTTCGAAATAAACTTTGTTAAATGGATACCACACCATTTATATCTTTGCTTGATAAACATTCATCAGAACAACAATTCTTTCACTATCTAACAAAGCGGCAATCGCGGTTGGTTCGGTTGGTTTGTTGTTTAGCAATATTCAAACTATATGACGGCGGTCTGTAAATAATCGAGTGTGGACCATGCAATCCACTGATTGATATCATAAGCATCGATCCACGCAATTGGGATCGATGAAAAGCATCAACCAAGTCAGCGAGCGGTAATCGCGGTATCATAAGACGTCATACTATGTCATGAAGTAATATCATTCAAGCCTTACGCCATAGCATTCCGACTCACAACTGTGAGTGTTTACGTAGAATGCTAAGCAAATGTTTCCAATAGATTGTATATAGTATTGATACTTAAACAAATATATGTTTACAGAGAATATGTTTACAGAGTATCTGTGGAAGATGATTGGTGCCCATACTGATACAAATCAGCTTCCTTGTAGACAAATTTCAGTTATTATCTATATCGTCTGTATAAAATCTTTCTACTTACCCTTTTGGCAGAGCGTCCCATTTCCTTCCCTCCACCCAACATCACAGCCGCCAGAACAAACACCTGTTGTCCTGTTACAGGATGCGGGACAGTTGCAGGAGTAGCTACAGGAGTCTCCAAACTTTCCTTGAGGGCAGGACACTGGGAGATATAAAGAGAGGTGAGATTCAACAGTGACATGAGCAGCTACGGGAATCTCAAAACTGCCCTGGTGAACACAAACCGGAGGAGTGGTAAATAGAGGTGAGATTCAACAGTGACAGAAGCAGCTTCAGGAATCTCCAAACTGCCCTGGTGAACAGGAACCTGTGGAGTGTTATAGGGAGGTGAGATTCAACAGTGACAGAAGCAGCTTCAGGAATCTCCAAACTGCCCTGGTGAGCAGGAACCTGTGGAGTGTTATAGGGAGATGAGATTAACAGTGAGAAGAGCAGCTACAGAAATCTCCAAACTGCCCTGGTGAACAGAAACCTGTGGAGTGTTATAGGGAGATGAGATTCAACAGTGAGAAGAGCAGCTTCAGGAATCTCCAAACTGCCCTGGTGAACAGGAACCTGTGGAGTGTTATAGGGAGATAAGATCAAACAGTGAGAAGAACAGCTACAGAAATCTCCAAACTGCCCTGGTGAGCAGAAACCTGTGGAGTGTTATAGGGAGATGAGATTCAACAATGAGAAGAGCAGCTACAGAAATCTCCAAACTGCCCTGGTGAGCAGGAACCTGTGGAGTGTTATTGGGAGGTGAGATTCAACAATGAGAAGGGCAGCTACAGAAATCTCCAAACTGCCCTGGTGAGCAGGAACCTGTGGAGTGTTATAGGGAGATGAGATTCAACAGTGAGAAGAGCAGCTTCAGGAATCTCCAAACTGCCCTGGTGAGCAGGAACCTGTGGAGTGTTATAGGGAGATGAGATTAAACAGTGAGAAGAGCAGCTACAGAAATCTCCAAACTGCCCTGGTGAACAGAAACCTGTGGAGTGTTATAGGGAGATGAGATTCAACAGTGAGAAGAGCAGCTTCAGGAATCTCCAAACTGCCCTGGTGAACAGGAACCTGTGGAGTGTTATAGGGAGATAAGATTAAACAGTGAGAAGAGCAGCTACAGAAATCTCCAAACTGCCCTGGTGAACAGAAACCTGTGGAGTGTTATAGGGAGATGAGATTCAACAATGAGAAGAGCAGCTACAGAAATCTCCAAACTGCCCTGGTGAGCAGGAACCTGTGGAGTGTTATAGGGAGGTGAGATTCAACAATGAGAAGAGCAGCTACAGAAATCTCCAAACTGCCCTGGTGAGCAGGAACCTGTGGAGTGTTATAGGGAGGTTAGATTCAACAATTAGAAGGGCAGCTACAGAAATCTCCAAACTGCCCTGGTGAACAGGAACCTGTGGAGTGTTAGAGGGAGGTGAGATTCAACAATTAGAAGGGCAGCTACAGAATCTCCAAACTGCCCTGGTGAACAGATACCTGAGGAGAGACACAGAGATGTGATTCGACATATTTTATAAATAGTGAGAGTACGAAGAAGCCTGAACGTACGGGAAGAAAGATATGATGTGGGAAATAAACGGTTGGTATCTGAAAGAAGGTAATTACAGTACATATATACATACCTAAAAGGCCAAGGATAAACTTTACTTTTGTTGTGTTTGTTATTCATATAATTTCGGTATTGTAAAGTTGTCACGTATCGGAAAACCATAGGTTCTTGTAGTTGCGAAACATGTTATTTTCATCTGTTTTTAGTTGTTGTTGTTGTTGTTAATGATCGTTTTCGTTTTCGTGTTTCAAAACAAAATACCAGCACGTCATGGACAAAGTTTATTTTGTAGTTGTGCGACACCGGTATTTCAACATTGAAAAAGACAGATTACTAAGGCAGTGAATGGTTTACAACTGCAGCCTAAAGATTGAGCCTAATCACATCCACAGTATGTGTTGTAAATATCAAAAGCCAATGCCAAAGAAAAATCGGTATCAATTATCCGTGGACAAAAAGGCTAAATAGCGGTGAAAATGATATGGATTGACCCGTAATGACACCAGGTGTTCACGAAAACCAGAGTAAGCACGTCCCAAACGGTAGCACACGTATTCAAAAAGAATGAAAATATTTGGCTGCTGCTGTTTATCACATTGCAATACAATACACTTGAAACAGTTTCTTGTGTGAGCTTTAATAAAGGCACCAAAATTTAGCTGGATCACTCAACTCATATCATGTAAGTAACGTGGCGTCTGAACAAATACCTTATTAATACCTGAACTATAGAAGATTGAAAATGTCTATGTATGATACCAGTAAGATAGGTAAATGATGTACATATGGATTCTACTAGGACTATTAATAGAATTTTCATTCGGTGACATTAATAACATTTGAGACATGGACGGAAATCTTGAATCAGAGCCAACATGGTTTGATGAAGAGATGGAATTTATCGCATGATAATGTTTAACTTCGGTGAAACCCACGAGCACGGATATTGTGCCGACAAAGTTAGAAACATAGAAGGGGCGAACCGGGATTCGAACCCACAATCATAGGTTTCTGGTGTGCCAAAGGGACGCAACTCTGCACAGCGAATTGTGGCGCTTCAGACGACTGTGACACCCGTGCCCCCTCCAAAGCAAGAGTACACAGAAATCAACATTGGGTGTCAGGATTTTCAAGTGTATGGACCTAAGTATTTAATAATTAAACTATGATAAAATATAGAACTGTCAAATATTAAGAGATTAGCCGATTTCATACAGTATATTCGAGAAAACATATACCGATAGGTTAAATAGAAATTAGTATAGAAATATAAATTATCCTTACTTGTTAGCCGCGACTATGCTTGTCGTAAGAGGCGACTACCAGGATCGGGTGGTCAGACTCGCTGACTTGGTTGATGCATGTTATTGTATACCTATTGCGTGGATCGGTGCTCATGATGTCAATCACTGGATTGTTTGGTCCAGGCTCGACTATTTACAGACCGCCGTCATATAGCTGGAATAGTTCTGAGTGGCGCATTAAACAACAAACAAAACAAAAACATACTTATTAGCCTATATCATCCATATTTAGTGTGTGAGGATCTGACACTGGACCCCCTCAACGCTTTAATGAAGCATTTCTATGCACAATTATATCATGCAAATACATATTTTAGCTTTTAAAATTTGATTTAATTGGGACACCGATGTTTGCATTATGATGGATATATTTCACTTACTATTCTCACGCACCATGCACACGGTTCAACAAAGGGTGTCAGTGTGGTGTTCAGTAACCATTCCTCGCGCAATATGGACTGGGGTTCGCTCAGGCATTATGATGCCACTCCAACACCATAAACAATCCAATGCAACATCTATCATGAGGTCTCAGGTTGAAATTGGCTTGACGTTTATGTCGACGTCGCCAAACACGACCACGCCTATCAAGGAAGTGCAAAGTAAATCGGGACTCATCAGATCACACGTCACGTGACCAGCGACGATTACCACAGTTTCGACGTTGTTGACAACATTGCCCTCTGTTGGCAGTATGAGCTGCACAACACGTGGTCGTCGAACACAGAGATGAGCTGCATGTAGACGATGTCCTATCATCTGGTGGGTACAATGTGTGAAGCCCATTTCTGGTGTCCCCCGCCGTGATATTGCTGAAATATTGCTTTAAAGCGGCGTAAAACCATACTCACTCAGTTATCGTCTGACCCGAAACTGGCACTCCGGTAGCCTGATGAAAGTTTGCAACAACTTGATTCGCCATTTCAGCTCGATTTCTTGGAGCCTGGTTTCGCGTCAATCGATACTGTATCTTTGTTGTTGACGTTCTGAACATTTTGGGTTCGTTGGTACCTGTTTCACAGTCTACTTCTACCTATACCATTATGTAGACCATTAAATTTCCTACTTGAGGATGTAAAATGAATTCCAAAAAGACGCTTGGCTTGAAGAACAAATGCTAAGTATTGTCGGACATTACTAATACTTCCCAATATTTGAACGACAAAATAATGTTTCATTTGCATCTTTGTGAGTGAGCGAGTCAGTGAAGTGTTTCTTCGATTTCAGATATATTCTAGCAATATACATGAAGACACCAGAAATGGTCTTCTCATATTGTACCCATGTTTGGAATTGAACTAGGACCTTTGGTGTGATGAGCGATCACATTATCCACTCGGCTGCTCCGCCGCCCCTCCATGTTAATGAATAATGTTACATATTTAATCAGAAATATGACTTCCTGTATCACATGAAATCATTTGTCATCTGTGTTGGGGACTTTACATATGTTCTAATAAGTTGTGTCATTGAATTATCCGAGTAAATATCCACTATTTAGATATGTGTCAAAAAACACATACGATTAGTATATCTGCAAATGGTGATTTTCAAAGATTTTATTTATAAGTTTAATTTTCAGAAATGATTCAAAACCTTTGAATTATAACTTCAAAGTGAGTTGTCATCCCCTCCGCCTACTACGGAACTACATGTTTGTCCTCATGCCAACTTTATTGATGTCCTTGATCCAGTTTCATTCAGTATCCTGTATAATTTTCTACCTCGTCATGTCTTCCTCGTTCCATCATGTTGTTACGATATGTTTTTTTCTGTAGTAGAATGAAGTGTAATTAACGCCAAGTGACACAAACGCCAAATATCCGACAAATTACACATGAAATAAAATTTGGAATGGTGATTTTCGATGAATTAATTTTGGTTTTCCAAATTGTCTGCGGATATTATTATAGATTATAGAAATAAACCCAGAATAAAAACCTTTGAAAGGTATTTATGTGCGTGTTATAATTTCAGCTTTATTCAAACTCAGAGTTGAGGGTTGAAGAGGAAGTGAAGAAGGACACAGATGTCAATCTTGCATCAAGGGGTAGAAGGGAGGAAAGACATACATGTCATTCTGGCATCATGTGCTGAGTAGAGGAACGACATACACATCATGCTCTCATCAATGGTTGACGAGGAAGGACATTCTTGTGTTTCTGGCACCAAGGGGTCGAAAGGAGGAAGGACATAAATTCCATTCTGGTATCAATGGTTGAGAAACAAGGACATACATTTCATTCTGACATCAAAAGGTTGAATGGAGGAAGGAGATACATGTCATTCTGGCATCAAGGCGTTGAAGGGAAGAAGGCCATACTTGACATTTCGGCATCAAGGGGTTGACAAGGAAGGACAGACACGTCATTCTGGCATCAAGGCGTTGAAGGAAGAAAGGATATACATGTCATTCTGGCAAAGAGGGGTTGAATGGAGAAGGTCATACATCTCATTCTAGCATCAAGGAGGTGATGGGAGGAAGGACATACATGTCATTCTGCCATTAAGGAATGAACACAACCAAACACATTATGGAGGCATGATAACACCCGCGAAGATTAGCGCCATCTAATGCGCCCTTTCAGTTTTTATGGAAATTTGCACTTTATGTCCTTGTATGTTTGCATAATTACAAGTTTTTCCTTCTTTTATCATACTCACGTGAATCGTTTTCTCTTGACTCAATGAATGTACGGAGATATTTATGTGTGTGAGATATTTCCTGCAGCAATCGGTGCTAGTCATTATGCCCGGAGAGGTTGTCGGTTCAATCTCTGACCTCGTCATACCAAAACACGTTAATGGTACGGTTGTAAGCCTGCCTGGCGGTCGGCATTAAGGGGATGAACAGGGCGGTCGGCATTAAAAGGACAAGTCAGCTTGGAGTCAGTACACTATGTCCGAGTGGGGTATCCATGTTGTATGATATCTCAGTGGGTTGTCACTTTAAATCCTGCAATTGTCCAGACTACTATATACAATCATTCACACCATATGTACGTGAATCTCCATACAGATGCAATGATATTGAACGCGACGTTTACCTCATCACCTCAACCCCATTTCACCTCGTGTCACCCTTTTTGCAGTCGATCGGTTACATTGTAAGTAGGTAGGTCAATTTGAAAGTAGCTGTCAGTTTGTCCGATGGGTTCATTATTAGCCTTTTCTTGAACATCATTTCAGTAGAACCAGGGTGTGTCATGGGATGCCTTTCATAGAAAGATAAAAGATGCTTACTTCACGAACCCGATGATAGCCTCAACCGATGTAGATGAATCCCATGAATATGTGTGTCTCGGAGATTCTCAAGGATCACATTTTTACGCGCCGAAATGACGCAACCCTGCATGGCGAATGTTTCTGTGTATGTTTTACGCCGCACTCCAGCTTCCAGCTGCAATGACAGCGGTATAATCGTGCCTGGACCAGACAAACCAGTAATGGATATTATGAGCATCGTCCCACGCTGTCGGAAAACGATGACAAACAATCAGTCAACTTATAGAGCCTGACTACCGATCCATTTAGTTGTTTCTTAGGACAAGCATAGCTTGCTGGGGAATATACAAATATAGTCTTTCCCGGAATACACTCGGGGCTCTTCCATAGCCTCCACTAGTGATTGAAGGGATAGTGTATTAACTGCATCATAAACTATAGAAGCATACCCATATGAAAATGTGATTGTCTGCAGTCACTGTAACTTGTTACTCTTCATAGCTTCTGCCTCACAATGTATACATGTAAGTGATGGTGATGCTACACAACACTTGGGAACAAATGGCTGACTTACCTTCCTGTCCGTCTACAAGATAGGAAGCCGTGAGGACCACGAGGAAACACAGCGCACAGCCTCTCTCCATCACCGCGGCGACCACTCCACTACACCATATCACTGAAGACGAGGGACAGTCGAATGAGGATGTAAATCACTGGTATACCATCCGGGCCTCGCCGTCTCACCCATACAGTCACAAGTTTGTCACACCATTCTATAGTAGGTCAGTTTATGTTATCTAAAGACTACCATAATGACAAGGATTTCTTCATATTTTATATGTTATATAACCGCCGGCTGTGACTAAGCACTAACATAGGTATAATGGGTTTCTGAGATTATGTTTATACATTGGTATGTATAAAACTACTGATTTTTCCATTGGCACAACTACTCCAATGGCGGAGTTCTGTATTATGCCACATTGGTGGAAGTGTTCAGTAAACTGTTTGTGTATAAGCTCCAGGGGTGGAAGTGTGTATTAAACTGAATGTGTGTAAGCTAAAGTGGTGGAAGTGTGTATTAAACTGTTTATGTATAAGCCTCAGGGGTGGAAGTGTGTATTAAACTGAATGTGTATAAGCCTAAGTGGCGGAAGTGTGTATGACACTGTTTGTGTATAAGCCCAAGTTTTTTAAGTGTATATTATAGTGTTTGTGTATAGGCTTCAGTGGTTGAAGTGTGTACTATATTGTTTGTGTATTAGCTTCAGGGGTGGAGGTGTATTAAACTGTTCGTGTATAAGCTTCAGTGGTTGAAGTGCCTATTATATTGGTTGTGCATAAGCCCAAGTGGTTGAAATGTATATTATATTGTTTGTGTATCAAGTGTGTATTAAAGTGTTTCTATATGCCCAAGTGGTACAAGTGTATTAAATTGTTTGCGTATAAGTTGTGGGAAGGGGTACTAAACTGTTTGTGGAGAAGCCCCGGAAATGGTGTATAAAGAAGCTGATTAGATGAAGTTATATAATTACTGTTTGTTCATAAGCCCCAGTACTGGAGTTGTGTATTATAGTGTTTGTGTATAAGCCCTAGTGGTAGAGTTGTGTATTTTACTGTGAATTCATCATGCACAGTGATTTAGTTGTGTATCATACTGCGTGTACATAAACCCCAATGGTGAAGTTGTGTAGCATCCTGCCTGTACGTGGATCCCAGTTGTGGAGTTGTGTATTATGTTGTTTGTGTATAAGCCCTAGTGGTAGAGTTGTGTATTATGTTGTTTGTGTAAATGCCCCAATGGCTGAGTAAGCCTTTATGGCAACTGTGCATAACCCAGTATCAGATTTGAGTTGTTTGATTAAGCTTACGGCTTGCAAGGACGTAGTTAAACTTTCACAAGGTTTTGCTATAGAGATATGGAGGGCATTTCCGTGACAACATGATGACTGATACACTTCTCTATTTGAATTGTACCATATCTTAATATAATGTGTCTTTCAGATGAATAATTGACTTGCCTTTGCATGGCTAACTGATACCTCTGGGGGCTGGATATGCTTACTTTTTCGCTAATACCTGGTATCATCAATATTTGATAGTGGTGAAGTCAGACCCGTACAAACGACTATGCATTTAACAGAGATTTCATATAATTTATGGGTATTGTCACTTATATTTATGATTGTGTAGAACCCGTTGTCTAAGCTCTGTGCATTATACTATTCGTAAATAAGCCCCTGTCTCAGAGGCTTGTGCTCGTATCACGTTTTCGGTTATATATCGACTACGGCTAATATCTCTTTCCTGTAAAGATGGGGAGGCTATGGGTTAAACCATCAACTGGCCTCGATTCCCCACAAGGTGTCCCCATGGTGTCGCCCGTGATGGTGTCCCTTCTCTGACACGACTGGAATATTGCTAAAAAGTGTTTTATGTGTTAGTGTTTGGTAGTTTGGATCACTTACATTACTGTCGTCACAAGCGTTCATTTATTCATTTAGACTTGCTCTTCCCATAAGAAACGTGATGACCCGGAACATCGACCGCCTGAGATTATATTACACAACTGGCCTGACACTTATCACACAGTACAGATACATTACAACAGATGTAGAAGGTGACACTGGGGTCATGTCGACGGTGTCAGCGTGTCCCGCGGTGGTCGAAGCTCCCTTTTGTCTATAAGTCTTCGGAACAACCACAAACGACGTTTAATTAAGGGTGGAATTCGTATTTTATCCCTAATATTGTGCCTATAGTTGGCACGTGATTACATAACATGCCTTTATCTCTATTTAGCAAGTGATTCCATGACATGCTTTATCAATATTTGGCAAGTAATTCCAAGCAAAAGTTTATACATTTATGTTCCTATCACCCAAAACTATTCAGGCAACGCCCACTAGAGGACTGTTGTTTCCTGATTGGCTCATTGAAGATTTGCATTATTAAGCTTAACGATATAGGTTATTTCGGATCGCTGTCTGCAGGGTTTTTTGTGTTAATGATACAATAAGCAGTCTGTAAGTTATGATTGTTGACTTATTTGTTTATAATATGTTAGTTTTGCGTTCACGGAGATTAGACCGCCTCCGTGGTCTAGTGGTAGAGCGTCCGCCCGGAGACGTTAAAAGATGGTACTTGTTGTTACCCTGTCTGGCGCTCGGTATTAACAAGGACTGGTCGGCTCGGAGTCAGTATACTGTGTCTGAGTGGGGTATTCATGTTAAACTGCGGCATGGTTTCTCAGTGAGCTAGCACTATAAATCGGCATCAGTCCGGACTAGTACAAGCAGCCACACAAACACACACATACACACACACACACGTACATGCACGTCGCTATATAAGTGCAATAACATTGGACGCGACGTTAAACCCCATTTCACCTTACCTCAACTCATGGAGATTATTACGTTGAAACCGTTGTGTACAACTTGCATAAAAAGTCATGCGGATCAACACATTGGGCACTGCATTTTAACTTTATGCCCCAATAAACGCATAAACATGTGGATGTCGATTCTTAGGTGTACTACAAATAACAATTAGGCCGTAGATACATCCTGGTGGTTTAAGTGCGTTATTACGGTCGTAACGCTGAAGTGCTCATAATCATCTAAGGTGCAGCTCCTCACCACGCTACTGGATGTCGGCTATCATGTTATATAAAGAATGTGTAACCTGAAATTGTTACTGTGTAATACGAGACATGTACAGTTATTACTTTAGCCTGCCATTCTCCACTAACAAGCAACAAACAAGGGGAACTTATTCATTGTGATTCGTTTGCTGTTTAGGAGAAAACACGTTATAATGTGTGGAACGTGTTGATGAGACAAATTAAGCATGCGTGGGACCGATTAAACAAGCGGAAATAAAGTGCGTGGTTATAAGGATGTGATAGTGTGGGAGGAAGTTCTTCACTCAGTTACTATCCGGTTCAACCAGCGTGTTCGTCGTATCCTCTGTTACAGTTGACCTTAAGCTTCCTTGTGTATTGACGGAATTGACAACAAATTCATGTGTCATTATAGTCTGCATATTCCACATCCACATCCTAAAACATGCTCAAGAGTTGCATTGCTGCCCTGCGCTAAAGATCAGTGTGCGCTCGAATTATGTTCTGATTATAAACTGGATAATAACCTGAGCCTAAACATGTTGCAAATCAATTTAACACTTGAGTGAATAAAGTCCGTATCCTTTTGGCAGTTTTATTGTCAGAATCATACAGTTATATACATGATGAAGAATGAGTGAGTGAGTGAGTTAGGTTTACGCCGCTTTTAACAGTATTCCAGTTATATCACGGTGTGTCAGTTTAATGTGGGAGGAAAGCCCGAAGTGATGCAGGTCTCAGACGTTCACCAATTTGGCGAAACTCAAGAGCACGGGTATGGTGCTGACAAACCTAGGAAGAAAAACAGGGCGAACTGGGATTCGAACTCCCAATCATAGGTTTCTAGCGTGCCCAAGGGACGTAACTCTGCCCAGCAGACATAACATAGACGACATGATGTAGAAGCTAAAAGGAAAATGTCATTGTATATCACACAATCACCAAATCTGCTTCGGTAACGCATTGTGCAACAATTACAAATTTACCAGTTTGAATAAAAAAAAATTAACGATTTATCAACAAAAGTGGTTTTGGTGGTTTTGATTGTGAATTTGTTTAGGCAGAAAACACAAAGGCAATTTGATGTCATCCTTTGGCATCGACACAGCACCAGTAATGTTATTGATTTAACAGAGTAGATGTTATATTTCAGTAATAATTAAATTTTCGTTATGTTCGTAATTCCTGCATTCTGATTAGCTGAATTGGTCACGTGGTATTGCATTCATTTCCCAATGACTGTTCAAGCTTAAGCCACGCCCACCGAGGCGCACAACATTTATTACTACGGAATGTCGGAGGATCCCAACATTACAGTCAAGCAATTCCCTTTCTGCTCACGTGTATCGTCATGGACAGGACATTTAGCCGAATTCATGTATATCCATATCAAGTTCATCATCACCGGATAGAATGGTCCAAACAGTAAGGCCACCTTTATGCTATGTACATAATACATCAACAACAATAAATTCCAATATGTTGATTTGAAGACAAAAACAACCGGAAACAATTTCAAAAGTCAGATTATGTTTACGACTGCGGCCTGTTTGAATTGTGTCATACGATAGTGGCTCTAAAAACAATAGTTCCAACTGGAGTCCTGCCAGTGATGGCTGAGGCCCTGTTGGACAGCGACGAGACCGAATTATTATAAATGTCAGTGTTATTCTAACCTAACAGTTAATGTACATGTCACTTCCGGTTACACGAAGGGCTTCGTACTGTATGTTGTCAGCTTCGGATCTGTCGCCCAGCGATGCATATGTGGAACGGGTAGGTTCCTCTGCTGTTTCTGGTGAAAGGTCTTCAGCTGGTACTTCATGCAGGTTTACGTCATCCTGATGATTCTGTATCGTCCGTCTGAAAGAGGCAGAGATATAGGTAGTAGGAATCATAATAAAGACGATGATAAATCTGGGCTGACGCCAAAGACAGTAATAGTCGAGTAAGGGCTACCTGCACAATTTCTGCCAAGACAAACTGGTGGTTGGATGTATCAGCGAAGCTCAATGCCACTGGATATACTGACACGCTATCAGCCGAGTTACAGTGCCTATACCTGGTTATTGTGTTTTACTTTGTTAACATTTTGAAAGCATTAATATCGTTTTCAACTTTTCAAAAATAGATTGTAGCAGCATTGTTGGGGTCAGTTGTATCAGTAGTAACATATCTTAGAAGAAGCGGTTGACAAAGGTAGTGGTCTTTGAGTAGAAGTGAGGTGGCTTTAGGCGTTCAGCTTGGTGTGGAAAGAATGCACTGAGATGCAGGTTTTAGGCGTTTACTAGTTTGGTGAAAGCGGTCAGTACGGACATGGTGTTGACAAACATAGAAACATAATCTGGTGTAAGCTGGGATTTGAATGCTGAGACGCCTAAGGGACGCAACTCTGTACTGAGCCACCCTTGCCCTCCGTGATAAAAATATTGTTGGTTGTGAAAGCGTCCTGGCAGTGAAATAGCAAACTTAAATTATTATTGCGTCAGTAGTAGAGGTCTCGTGAGTAGAGTTGGCATGAGTTATGGTAATAATAAATGAGGTGGTGGAAGTCAGTAGGTAATAATCAAAGCGGTGGCAGCAGTACTAGAAGTCCATTGTATAGTGATGGAAGTAGTTATGGTACATTATGTAAGTAAGGATAGGATATATGGATGAACAACTTCTTTATAACAATGAGGATTAAAGAAGTTGTTCATCCATATATCTTATCCTTACTTAGCAATCCAACTTGTAAATGTCTCTCAAAGAAGTAGCTATGGTAAAAACAGAAGTGATGGAAGCAATCTCAGAAGTCCTTTAAGAAGTAATGGCATTAGCTATGGTAAAAACAGAAGTGATGGAAGCAATGGTAGAAGACCTTTAAGAAGTAATGGCATTAGCTATGGTAAAAACAGAAGTGATGGAAGCAGTAGTAGAGGTCCTTTAAGAAGTAATGGCATTAGCTATGGTAAAAACAGAAGTGATGGAAGCAGTGGTAGAAGACTTTTTAAGTATATGTACTAGAAGTGGTGAAAGTAGCAGAAGAAGTGTGGCAAATCACGTTGTTAAAGTAAGGTCGGTAGACTTGCTACAAACGTTTCAAAGAAACCGTAAGCACGAGTTACAGTTACAGATGGATGGTGACTACCTCTTTGTCCTCCACACGACGACCCCTACAGCAGCAAGTAGAAGCACCAGGACACCGACAGAACAAGACACAATAACTACGGTGCCTGTAGTCTTGCTGGGCGCAGCTACATGAAACAAACATTATAAAGAAGGTAACGACTTGATACAAATATAAACTTCTCAAGAATAGAAGGACAATGGTAGAATAAATCAGTTTAAATGAAATTATTTTCTCCAGCGATCGCAAGTATATTTATGTTGAGTAAATATATTACAAATGGGGTGCAGTACAATGTTATGAATCAATAATTACATTTGGCAACATGAAGCTTTTTCACACATTATTTACACAGAAATATTCACATAGCTAATGATTTCAAAGGGATGAAGATGAATGCTTATACAAACTTTCTTTGTGTGACTTAAAGGTGTTGTGGAGTGAGCTGAGCATGCATCAAATGAAAGGTATGACGTCAAAAGAAAAACAAATCATCATGATCAGTATTGTCTCGGTTACATTTCGGGCGTTGTGCGAGTGCGAGTGGGTCTTGTAAAGACTGCCACTGTTCAACAGTATTCTAGGAAAGTGAGTGAGTGAGTGAGTTGGGTGTAACGCCGCTTTAAACAGTATTCCAGTTATATCGCAGCGTGTTAGCTTAATGTGGGAGGAAAGCCCGAAGTGATGCAGGTCTCAGACGTTTACCACTTCGGTGAAACCCACGAGCACGGGTATGGTGCTGACAAACCTGGAAACATAATCGGGGCGAACTGGGATCATAGATTTCTGGCGTGCCCAAGGGACACAACTCTGCATAGCGTATCGCGGCGTCTTAGACGACTGGGCCACCAGTGCCCCCGTCTTGGAAAGACTACATTAACATACATAAACTTTATCAAAACATACATTAGAAATAGTAGTAAACACAATTCAATTAATCATATATTTTATACAAGCAAATACGACGAATAAAGACAAAATAATTAGCTGTCACATTAACATCAATTCATACTTTTTAGATCGAGACGATGGCATCTGCTTTTCCGTTAATAGTTGATAATGACACTGTTTATGATTCAGATGTTGAAATAACCAATTTTTTTATTGAATATTTTTTAGAACAGACACAGGCTGATAAATGAGATAGTCCCTCTGCCTTTACAGAAATTAGTCTCCAATATACATAATGTTAAATAGGGAAGATGTGTGGGATGTCGTGGCGTATGTTGATGTCAGTTACATTGTTAAGAAAACTAGATCTTTGATTAATTTTTAAGGAGTTATAAATACCCCTGGACCCAGAAAACGCAAGAAACAATGTGTTTATATGATATTTTGCCTGTACTCGAAAACAACTTCAATATATGGGATAATTGTTCACAACAACAGGAACTACTCCTAGAAAAACTTCAACTTGATGTCTTGAGCAAAAGTCTGAAATTGTCTACAGCCTGTCAAGAAAGTAAGATAAATCAAGAAATTGTGTGTACATTACAAAACGATAAACAATATTGCTCCGGAATATCTGTGTAATCTCCTTCCTCGTCAGATAGATTTGGATCATCATTAAAGTTTAAGAAATGGTATTCAATTACAAGAAAATAGAATTTCATGCAGTGATCCTAATAGTCATAAACTTGAAACATGTATCAACTTCACTTCCTCTTCGCTCGTTATAGTTTTCCTAAAATTAGAAGTATTGTATACTACTACACAAAAGGTTTTCATCTGAAAACAGCATTGTATGGTTACAAGAATTAAACAAGAGATGTCAACCACAACTTACTTATGTCTGTCCAGGATTTCATAGAAAATGAAAATATTGTGTACATTTGAGTTGGAATACATATTACGCTTTTATGCACATCAATAGTGTTGATAACATGAGTGGCCTTCCTAGAATATAATTTATGTTGTTTCTTTACCTTAAAAATTGGATGTCTACATAACTGTAATTATGTAACAGGGAGTGTTATTTAAATAAGCTAGTGAGGCATGTCTACCAAATCCCTATCAAGTTGAAGTCGAATAAAATATGTTTAAACTTTATCAATTCATATTCTTCTAAAACCGTTCATTTCAGGAATCGGACTATTTAGAATACGCTTTTCAGTACCTCTACACTGTGATTCTGTGAATCCGTGTGAATCTATTCAAAATAACAAGCACAGCGGTGACATTTCTCATTTTGTTTTTATCTTTCAAGCAATACGATGCCACACATTTAAGTAAAATGGGGGACACCCATTATAACAAGTGAACACCACGAATTATAAACGAGAGAACATTTGATGACATTTCGCCTACCACCACTGTGCTCACTGACAAGGTGTGAACATTTTTCCTGAGACGGTCCCTTACTTTAATCCCTTTATTGTTGTTGTAATACTTGGTGACTGGCATTCTCAAAGTTGGTGAGTAAGTAAGAAAACGTACAAACTTATGGGTAACAACTTCTGATGTTTTGCATATAGGGACGTTTGGATACAGATTCTTACACTTTTATCAACCGGAGTGACAACAAAAAAGTAATGCATGATATGTTGTGATACTCAGCAGATTGAAATTAACAGCAACAGGTAATGGAAAACAAGTAGCACACATGTAACAAATGTTATATTTGGGATAACACTTTCTTAGTAAAGTACAGATTCTGGTACTTTTTTGGTTGGGTCCCGTCTAGGATTGCAAAAGTAAAGCATCTAATCGCCAGCACACAAAGTAAGCGATGTAACCCACCTAGCTACCGAGGCTTCCACAAAAATAACATACTTTGTGTACCCTCCTGACAAGCGTAAATTGGCACGGTTCTTATGGCCGAATTGTAATGTGTGTTCAAGTAGCACACATAAGACGCTAACGATTGTACATATGTTAACATTGGGGGGTGAAAGAAGCAAAAATAATAGTGAAAATGATATGTATATATTTGGAGTATTAAGATTATGTTTGTGCTGCGTGCTTTCACATTATGATTACAAGGAACATGATGGCACTTACTTTTGTGTCTGTTTATAATTATTAACAAAAGGGTGCAAATGTCAGGTCCTTACCCTCAGTGCATGCGATTCCCTTCCATCCAGCTTGACAGACACCTGTGTCACAGATCCCTGTAACATGATCACACCAGGAAGTGTTGAGGGCACAACGTCTGTCTGCACACGCTCTGCGGCAGTTGGTTCCGTAATGGAGACCGTCGCATTCTAACGAGGAAATACAGATGGAATTTGAAAGCAATTCCTGCTTACATGTATTTTTACTATGCAGTAAGGTGTAGACTGATAATTAAGTGTTCCACAGTCAATTCAAGTAAGATTGAATTTAATAATGACTAGGATAACGTAAACTTTAACGCAATAAATGAATAATAGACCATTTATTTATATATGCATGTACTGTATATTTCCTCACCACACAGGGGCATGCTCAAAGCGATATTAGTACACCGGTCACTTGATCAGTGTGCACTCAACAATCAGTCTCATCTCAGCTGGCTACACAAGCAAAGCTGCCTGTTAGGCATTAGAAGGTTGACAACCCCATTGCCTTCTCATCCTAACGGGTACCCACTCACTGTTGGATGAACAGAGCCACACTTGGAACAGAGTCATTTGCCCATGTGTTACATGTACTTCAGTGTGTGACAGGACCGAAGCCCTTGGGTCTCTAAGGAGCCAGGCTGCCTAATCGCGGTCACCCATCCAAGGACTCGCCGGGACCAACGCTGCTTAACTGCAACCTGATGTGTGTGACCTGTGCCCTCTGCATAGGACCATGTAAAGGTAGAATAAGCAATGTTGCTTTTGGGGAAAATTAACGATATAAACATTTGTGTTCAATGTCGTTCATGTTATGAACCCATGTACATATCTCACCTTGTGTACAGTCAGACTGTTTCCAGCCAGCTCGACACCCAGTGTCACATGACCCACTGCGACGATCACATGACGAACTATCACTGGTACACTTTCGGTTGGAGCAGGATTTCTGGCAGTTTATTCCATATGACCCAACAGAGCAGCCTTCAAAAATTAAATTTAAAAGTTAGCATGGTATGTTTTGTCATCTGTTGATATATATATATATTGGGGGGTGGGGGTGGGGGTGAGGGGGGTATGCTATCTACATTAAGATATTATATGTTGGGGTAGACAAAGTACGTGAAGTAGTCTACCAGTTGTTGGACTTTCATTTTGTTGAAGCCTCGGTGGCTAAATGGGTTAGATTGCTGACTTTGTGTGTGCTGACGATTTGGTGCCCCACTCTGAGAGTGTGGGTTCGAATCCTAGTTGGGACGTAACCTAAACATAGTACTAGAATTTGAACTTTACTGAGGAAATGTTATACCAAATATAACATGTACAGTTGTTACGTTTGACCACTTTCTAAATGGCGTTGTGTGTTCATATCATATATTATGATAAATAAACTGATGATAAAACATGTCAGATGACATGTGAATTCATGTTTCTTACGTGTGGAGCAGTTATCTCCCTTCCAGCCTGGACGGCAACCACCAGGGCACGCCCCTGTCACGTGGTCACATGTTGAATACAGGCAGTGGCAGAACTTGCTGCAGTTTGGGCCGAAAGTTCCTCCCGAACATTCTGTGTTGGAATATAAACAACAGTGTTACAATGTGGACCACTAAATGACATGTGTTCATATATATGCTGTTTTAACTATGATAAATAAACTGAGCTATGGTTAATTCATAATTCATTATGCCTGTGATAAAACATGTGAGATGACATATGAATTCATGTTTCTTACGTGTGGAGCAGTTATCTCCCTTCCAGCCTGGACGGCAACCACCAGGGCACGCTCCTGTCACGTGGTCACATGTTGAAGTCAGGCAGTGACAGAACTCGCTGCAGTTTGGGCCGAAAGTTCCATTCGAACATACTGTGTAAGAATATGTAACATGGTGTTGAAATGTAGAACACATTGTAATGTTAATGCAAATGACATTTGTCAACAGTTCTCAATGTCTCATGCTCTTGACTTCCCAGGAATTGCGTGTATGTGTATCACTTTGAATGTAAAGTGAGGAATAACACCAACCATATATCTCCACCTCACATATATTGAGAGTATCATCTTGCCAAGGTGCTCTGCCGGGATTCCTGATGATGAAGAATCTTCCTGTCCCATCACATGTCAGGTCCATTACGTCAGAGATATTTTGGGGATGAGACGGGAAAGTGTAGCAGACTGTAACCGCATCAGATCTTGGTCCAACGGAGATGCTGCAGTTGGCAAGTCTATGAGGATCTGGAAATTCACTGAAAGTTCTATTAAGTGTTGAGCCAAGGAAACGTTTATTAAGATTTTTTAATGTGCCTGTCTTCTAAACCTTAGATATTATATAATAACAGTTATACCTACAATAACTGATTTTCAAAATAAAGACGTAGTAGACATGTCAACATGGGTGGGGTGGGGGGTGGGTGGGGTGGGTGGGGGGGGGGGGGGATAACATCTTACATCCAGCCCTGTTGTAGATCCTTACGGAGTGTAGTCTGTACTCAGCTGCCAGGTCCACCCGCCAGAAGGTCGGGTAGTAACGTGAGAGGTAGCAGGAGTTGTGGGTTACATCCTGGTCTCGGTTCCCGTCCACAGCTTTCCCTGCCGTCCAATCTGACGTGTAATCTCCTGAACCTGATACTGTCTTTCTGTAGCCAATATTTTCTGTAAAATATCAGCCATTGAAATTAACTTGAAATATTTTGTTTGGAGCAGTTATTGGGTATAATCTGGCACAATGACAGCTGATGGTGTATGTATTTGACACTGTTTCGTTTGTTAGTGAGAAAGGTTAAACTGATATCGATTATGCAACTGCTCTCAGGAAAAGATACACAAGACAAAGCGTCATTAGCCTAACACGAAAACTGATGTCATACTATTTATATCTTAGTTTGATCAATATTAATCAGAACAACTTCGATTTCGTTGTGTTTTCTACATTATGTTGATTAAGCGGGTTAAGTTAGAAGGAAATAGTATGACATCACCCAATCAAAATATTTTAGAGTTACATCATAGCATTCCAGAGTGACTCGCAACTGTGAGTGTTTATGTAAAGAGCTACGGAGAACTACTGGTAACTTTTCTATTTTACAGTGTCGGATCAAAATTAAATCGAATAATACTTGCAAATCTGAAAACATATAACGTTTGTCTGAGTTTCATATTCATATCAAGGTGACAATTACGTCTTCATTGCTTTTTTTTAATGCTTTTTTTAGGTACTTCTTTATCGCCAGTAGAGAATTCGTCTTACATACGAGCTTCACAAATGTTACACAAAACTAAATACATAAATGCGATTAAACGAATACAGATACACATTTAAAATCTAGACGTAACATGAAACCTGCAACAGGAAAAACATTTGACACATGTTTTAACTAATGTGATAACTGGAATAAAAGAGGTCTTGGTATATTAAGATTAAACTTTCGAAATGTGAAATCGTCGTGCAGATGGTAAACAGAATAACTCGAGTTTTAAAGTGAGATGAATCGTCTAACATTCGCGAGGCAATATTTGCAACCTTCTTGTGGTATTCCTAAAAAACATCAAGGTTCTGACATACACATCTGGCAAATCCTTCCTTCTAATCGCACAATTTTCTTCAGTTTAATCCTATCATGGAGTGAGAGACCACCTTACCAGCATTACAGCATAACTGTACAATGAAAGTTAAAACAGACTGATTATATGTTTGATAAAATTAATAACATTATTGTTGAGACAATATTAAAAGATCTTTCTTTTCTTAAAAAAAAGTAGAGGCGAGATAGACACTTGCTGTACATGGCATCTGTGTTTTGAGGAAACCTGAAGGTGTTGTCAATGATAGTCCCGAGGTACGCGTATTCTGTTACAACCTGTACAGATTCTCCATTAATAACCCCTATTGTGATGTATGACCTCTTTTGCCGGAAATCGATAGGTTCGGGACTAATATTTTTCGAGGACCGATTCCAGAAACGCAAACCAGTTGCCAGACAAACTAGACAAATGTCAGTTATTATATGTCTCGTTTGTATAAACGATTCCAACTTACTCTTTTGACAGAGCGTCCCATGTCCTTCCCTCCACCCAACAGCACAGCCGCCAGAACAAACACCTGTTGTACTGTTACAGGATGTGCCACAGTTGCAAGCATAGGTACATGGGTGTCCAAACGTTCCTTGAGGACAGGAAACTGAGAGATATAAAGAGAGGTGATATTAAAAATGACAGGAGTGGCTATGGACGTATTCAAGCTTTCCTGGTGGGCGGAACCTCGGGAGAGGTGGGACAAGATTATTCACTGTAATACATTGTATCAATTAGATGTGTGTATGTGTTTGACAGGTCACTTAATTAATTGGCAGGTACCTTTGAAACACATAAGTAGAATACATAACATAATTTAATGTTATATGATTTATGCTTTTCCTTAGTAATTTATGGACCTGTAAAACAACTGTTGTCTATATCGTCACATATACATAAAATGGTCAAGTTGACTGGCTTATATCCATGTACCAATGTTTCCGACTGGGTCTCATTCACACTAAACCTGACAGTAAGGCCAACATCTCCTGTATTATACCTGTCACTGCCACAGACGTTATCATTTTAATATTCATGCAGCATGAATGTTTCACTAGACCCAACAGCTTTGTCACAAATAGTTCATCACAGCGGATACATTATTACATGACTGATGTTTGTTGTTCAACAAATATGATCTTCTTCTCGGTGTTGATTGATGGAAGCACGATCGGAGTAACGTACAATCATATCAGTGAATTAAGGTTGGACAGTACGATAACACCGTACAGCGTGGTCGAGTTTAACGCCATATTGAGCTATGTGCTTTGAGGCGCAGATCGTGTACGTTGCAAATGTTACTGAAACCCACGGGTACGTATTTGTTGTCAACAGTTCATGGAGCATACCAATAGAAAATCTTGCATTCGGACATAATACTATCGTAGAATGGTGTGAGCCTCACATACAAAACACATGAAAATAGACCTAAGATTGCACTGTTGGCATAACTTTATGATTGTATCAGACACAATGGTTAATCCCATCATCAATCACATATCACGAGTTAATGTCCAAAGAGAACAAAAACTATGGTAATTATTATTATTATTATTAACCTATACCATTTATGTGCTAGATTCCAAAAAACTTTATCAAATATAAAATGGCCCTGACATCGGAAGCGTGTTTGTTTGAGTGAGAGAGAGTGAAATACGGGTGGAGGGGAAATACTATTTTTTACGTGCATAATATCAAAGAGGTACAATTTATGTTTTACAGATTCAGTATATGTAATACCATAAATTTCCAGTGCACATATTTTGAATGAATCCTGATGCTGTCCAAGTGTTCCTGGTGGTTACATGTCTTCCTGTACTGTTACACGCCACATCGATGGGGTTTGAGGTAATAGAACGTGGGAAAGTTAAAAACGTAGTGGAGTTGTCTCCATCGAGGTCGATGATGGAGTTGGCCATTCTTGAGTACTCTGTTTGTGGACGGTAAAAAAGTAAGTCAATGTTTTCGGTTTTCAGTGTAAGAATGAGACATATAGTTTTGATTTTAAGTGTCTTCAATCGGTTATACTCTAACAGGAATGCACCCTTGCTTTTGAATTTAACAAAAAATGCTTACATAGAGATCTACTATAGACCCTGATGTCACACAGACGGTGCTCCCGGTCTAGATCCACTGTCCAGTCTGATTGGGAGAGGCCAGCATGAATACATTTTCTACCATCGCCATATATGTCGGTGTCTCCATCCACTGCCTTTGATGGCACCTAATGCTTGATCAAACACACCTGCTGTTTTTGATATTATTATTCAAATTACAAATATTTCCAAATGAAATGGAAGCATTTTCTAAATATCTTTATATTGTCAGACACAAATCTGCTAAACCTCAATAAAGGGTTACGACTATTTTTTTTCAAAAATGCTAAAGTGTTACCGCCACACAATTTTTAACTACTCAAAAGTATTTTATTAGTACAAAATACACTTGGAAAATGTGCAAATACCAACCAGCATTACCATATGATTTGTGGAAAACCACAGCCAGGTAGTGCCCCATGGTGCATTGCGCATGGGTGGTTTTCTTAGGCAGTGACATAGTTCCCTAACAACGGAGAAAAGGAGGTGTAAAGGGAATTTAGTTCATTTTATATCCTCCAAGTAAACAATGTTAAAAGAAACTTTAACTTCATGTACAGACTGGTGTGGGGGTGAAGGATGGGGGGCGTCCAGTTTTTCATTGCCTGCTATTATTAAAGATACATCACCATGCCAGTATTATTAATGGGCATAAGGCATGACCAGCATACCTTGATTTGATTCTGGGAGATCATGAAAACGGTATATTTAGAACCACATTGGCATTCAAATGATAAAATACAGTGCAAGATACGATAAAGGATGGTATTATTTGCTAGTTGGTTTGTTTTGGTTTGTTGTTTAACGCCGCACTTAGCAATATTCCAGCTATATGACGGCGGTCTGTAAATAATCGAGTCTGGACCAGACAATCCAGTGATTGATATCATGATCATCTATCCACGCAATTGGGATCGATGACAAGCATCAACCAAGTCAGCGAGCCTGACCACCCGATCCCGTTAGTCGCCTTTTACGACAAGCAAATTCACCTTTTACGGCAAGCACGGGTTGCTGAAGACCTATTCTACCCCGGAATCTTCACGGGTCTTATTTGCTAGTCTTCCTGGTGAATGAAAAAAGGGGATAGAACAGGATCGATGTTAGTATAATGCGTCTGAGTGGGTTATGCTTGTTAAAACTGTGGCATAGTTTCTCGGTGGGCTAGCACTATAAAACTGGCATACATCCAGACTAGTACAAGTGCACACACATACACGCACGCACACACGCACGCACGCACGCACGCACGCACGCACACACACACACACACACACACACACACACATGTGTCGTCATGTAAGTGAAATAACCTTGAAGGCGACGTTAAATCCATTTCACTTCACCTGCATAACTTAAAGGACATACATAAAAGAAAATATGTATAAAGACGTGCATAAAACGTTCGCCCTGATACACTCAAACCAAACATATACTGTCGTCTTCGTATATACAATGTTGCGAAGAAATCTTTATTTTAATAAAGTTTTATTGTTTTACGCCACACTAAGCAATTTATCAGCTACGTCACTTTGACTAAAAAGGTCTTGTCAAAGCAAACAAGTGGAGCTACGCATACGATTCATGCTGACAGGAAGATTTCTAAGACAAAAGATACATACCGTAACAATCCACTCCCAGTAGTCATCTCTTATCATAGTTTATGGTAAACAGAGTGCACTGGCTATCTATTCTATTACACAGAATGCTGCAGTAGTAATTACTTTATCCAGAGGATAAGCATTCTCGGAAATCCATCGAAACAGATTTCATTGGGCTTGAAAGGCAAAATAGGGGTGAAAATCATATAAAGAGGTCGCTGAAAACCAGTGATTTCACCAGGTGTTCACGAAAACGGTAAGCATGCCCTGCCCTACAGGCAGTATCCGTCACTGACACAATTTGCATAAATACGCCAGAAAGCTTCAAAACCCAACTGTGGAAACACTAGGGTCAACATGTAGCTGATTGTTCATGATGTTATTTTGAGGACTGCATGTTAAATATTGAATTCGGTATAGTTTTATATTCAAACTACACCCAGCTGGTTTTGGGTTGACGAATTAAAACTTTGCATGAATGCATTCATCTAACATAACCGATTTTTCTTCAACATGTGTATATTTACCTTGCAGCCTGCCTCTTGTAATTTCAGTAAAATGACACGATGCCCTTAAACTTGTCAAACAATAATATCACCGAAGGGGGTGAGGTATACCCCAAGTGAAAAACGTGTCTGTGTAAATATGTCATGTATTATTCATACCTATTGGTGTGTTATGAGTCATGTTCATAGAACCGAACGAAGGCATTGAAACCAAAAACTTCACGTTGACAAACAGGAGGGCTGACGGGCGTACCAATAGTGAAGAGAGGTTGAAGTCACAACATCAAACACATTGCATTGACAGGGTATTGCGCTGAAGGCTTTTGTCAGGACTAAATGTTATTGAAATACAGTAGCATACATGTGTAACATAAACGCGTGACGGGTCGTGTATGGTTTACAAATATGTAGTGTATTCGTAGTGTACCCCTGAATACTGTCGGTCGCATTAATATCACATACCACGACACATCCATGCATGAGAAATAGGTAGCTCTATATAGCACACGGAGGTCCTCTATATAAAAATTATGTCAGTATGTGCACTCCGAACATTCTGTGTTGTTTCATGAAAAAATGTTTTCGCATAACTGTGGCAAATATAAATACACGTCATGATCATGTAGCATAATTTCATCTCCGTCATGAAAATTTGTTTATGGACGGTTATATTATATTAAACGCTGTATACATATTCGATAATACATTTTAACAAAATCACAGATTAAAAGCATAATCATACTTGGACCCCTGTTAAACCTTGCAGTGTATTCTAAATATCGCATGAATTCGCCTATTTATTTCTTCCTTTCAACAACTGGATCATTTACAAATGGGCATATTCTTATCCTCGTTCAAATGCATATGTAGTGATGGTTTGTTGGAAAATGCAATCTTGGTATGTCAGCAATGTTATTTGCAACACAGCTAACACACACAGCGGTAAGATGTAAAACCGTTGAAATAATTGTAAAGGTTTTTATCATGCTGATTTTCTTGTGTTTAACCATGTGAGATTACATTGTGTCCATCTGTATGACAAAAATAACAGTTTCAACAATATATTGGATATATGTGCTTGAAAAAGTAGGATTTCTGATTATGACAAAAGTTTTATTCACCTGTATAAGCCTAGCTGTATAGTGTTTAGGTAAGGGATATGTCCCGCGTGTGAGGTGACTCTTTTCCGAGTCAAGTACACAGATATTGTAGTTCAAGAATGAAGCTTACAATGAATGGAGTCAATTGTAACTTGACGCTACTCAACACAATAGGAAAATCATGTCTTCAACCAAAGCCTTGCCAATAGGCTTTATTTTCTGCAATAATTGATGTCTGCATAATGTTTGCATCCTAAATGTGTCTGCCATACACACTGTAATGCCTCCTGTATATGCATGTAGTGTATTTTGATGTTTGGGTTTATAACACACGAAAGGCGATTATTTATTTTCCTTAATTCAACCTCAAAACATTAACTCAAAACTCATGTCACCTAACTCATCATCTTGCATGAAATAGTGTGTTGGCATTGTATAAATGTGATAATCACACGGTGTTCTCAATTGGAGATAAGAAACAATTAACATTTTACATTCTCCTCAACCTGTTTTCTTTTCCAATTTGAGGGGGGCGGTCGGGTAGCCTAGTGGTTAAAGCGTTCGCTCGTCACGCCGAACACCCGGGTTCGATTCCCGACATGGGTACAATGTGTGAAGCCTATTTCTGGTGTCCCCCGCCGTGATATTGCTGGAATATTGCTAAAAGCGGCGTAAAACCATACTCACTCACTCACTCACTCACTCACTCACTCCAATTTGAGTCAAATGATCTACGAGTAAAATAGCTCAGTTTGTACTTTCGTCACACAAGTTGTGAATGAATTGCACATGTAGTAAAGAATTTGTTACTAGTTATGGAAAATATGCAATCTTGAAAATGTTACTATTACACATGAATATCCGAAATTGACTCAAGGTAATGATGTGTTAATTTTAGGGCGTTTCATTTTTTTGTGGTATGAAGATCAGATGGCCCCATGGCTCATCTTGTTAGGGGAGCGGTGGGGTAGCCTAGCTGTGAAAGCGTTCGCTCGTCACACCAAAGTACCGGGTCGATTGCAATGTCCGCATATATATTGATATATTGTTATGCAGGCCCTCTACCATTAAAAAGCTAAGGAAAATACTGGTGCGGAGAATAAGTAAACATAGCATAGGATATAACATTAGGGGTATATGTAAGTCATGAGGGATATACATGTATGTCAGTCAGGAGGGATTATATGTCAGTCATTAGGGATATATGTCAGTCATTAGGGATATATGTCAGTCATTAGGGGTATATGTAAGTCATGATGGATATATGTAAGTCATGAGGGATATATTTCAGTCATGAGGGATATATGTCAGTCATTAGGGATATATGTCAGTCATCAGGGATATGTGTCAGTCATTAGGGGTATATGTAAGTCATTTGGGATATATGTCAGTCATGAGGGATATATGTCAGTCATTAGGGGTATATGTAAGTCACAACTGTGCAAGTAACACACTTCTACAGCTATATTCGTGTTAATCTATGCAGCATATTACTAACAACTTGAATGTATACATGCATGCCTTATAATTGAAACGGCCTGTTGACATTTGATTGAAGGGTATAGATCTTTTCTATGCAGCGTCATTATTAAGTAGATACTTGACGGAATGCATCTTGTTTGGGTAGCCTTTATTGTTGGTTGTGGACTCTCAATGCCCCAAACATTCTTTTTGCACCCTTCACATATGATAATATATCACATGGGTTTCCGGGGACGTCACTCTATTTAGTAGAGAAATGAAATAAATAACCCTTTGACCGGCAATGCTATGTGATGTCATGTTAAACAACAGCCAACTGACTTTTTCTTTGTTTACGCTTTGGCAACGTTACTGTGCAGTATTCCCAAGAAGAACTAGGCTAAGAAACTAAAAAAGAAACAATAAATAATAGTCTAGCTTTGTAGGTAATAACAAACAAAGTGTTAAAACTATTTATTTATTCTTCACTTTAACACAGTTTCAGTTCATTCCCATGAGATTTGTCAAGAATATGAGAAACTGAATTGCATCATTTACAGAAAGGCATATAAACAACATGACCAATTCAAATATCATCACGAAGGTACATTGTTTCAATATTTGATAAGACATATATTGACTCGGCATTAGTGATTTACACTAATATAGTGTATCTTGAGCAATGAGTCTTGTTAGAATTTATTACTTTATTATGTCTAGCAGATGACGATAATTGCATGTGCAAAGACATGGGAATATATGTAACATGTATGGGTCACTACTACGTGTGACATGTATGTGGCTTACATAATCCTTATCTTTATGACGCAAATCGCACATGTTGGAATGACGCGAATTCTCATGACATCATCTTAACATGTAATGATATATGTTTATCTTCTTATACCAGGTAAAAAAAGGACCATTACTACCAGATGTAACAGGTGAAGTGAGGTGAAATAGGGTTTAACGTCGCGTCCAAGATTATTGCACTTATGCAAACATTGCATAAGTGCACACATGCATGTGTGTGTGTGTGTGTGTGTGTGTGTGTGTGTGTGTGTGTGTGTGTGTGTGTGTGTGTGTGTGTGTGTGTGTGTGTGTGTGTGTGTGTGTGTGTGTGTGTGTGTGTGTGTGTGTGTGTGTGTGTGTGTGTGTGTGTGTGTGTGTGTGTTTTACAGGCATAAATAGTTTGTTTATTGGCATAGGTTGATTTCATTGAATACATATGACTTGTTTTAGATATCATGAACTTAAATCCCTTCAAAGACATCATAATTTAACATGTCACTTTTTTTCGAGCTATATATATAACATGTTTAAAATTTCAGTCACGAGAAAATGTATCAAATGTTAAAAGCTAAATCGAATTACGTTTCCGAGTGTATTATTTACAGTGTATGTTTATGAATCACAATTTAATAGTGCTGGTGCGCATCACTAACAGTAAAATCCTGCCCAACCATTGGCTCCAGTCACACACACATGCAAAGGCAAGACAATAGTTCACCTGAAAAAAACCATACCGTACAAGTCACAATTGCATCGGACATGTAAAGACAGTTGATGCTAGTCGTAATACGAGTAAGGTTTTATATACCCTACGTGTGTATGCATGTTCACATAATATTATACCTTGCTGAAGTAAAACAGTACAGGCCTGCCCAAACACTTTGTAATGTTGTTAACCTCATCACATAACATCCAGTCTAGTAATTTAGCTGGAATGAAAGAAATGGAAACAAATGTTACACCAGATCGTAGGTTTTTAAAGTTCAATTCGAAGTATGCGTTTGCGAAAACTTTGTTAATAGATTAAATATTTATACAATTTAGAAAATGTCACTGCAGGTATAGCATGCAATTAGAATACAACGATTTGATCTTTGAAAAGCTTATTAACGTTTTATCACGAATGCAACTTAACATTGTTAACGTCGTAAACATAATTTTTTCGGAAATATGATTTAGCCTGTTGACAAAGGCCAAGTCCACTTGCTTTAGTTGTGTTGGTATGAAAAAATTATCTGCAAGAAAATCAGATACGCTGTTGAAATGAACAGCAGATGATTTACATGTTGGCATAAAGTCCAAGAGATTCCAGTCGTCGTTGAGCAAACTCCAGACACAGGCGGACATCTTCCTGAAAGGGAAACCAACATGTTAGAGTGAGTGAGTTTGCCTTAACGGAGCTTTGAACGGTTTTCCAGTTATATTACGGCGTGTCAGCTTGATGTGGGAGGAAAGACCGAAGTGATGCAGGCATAACGTTAGAACAACGTTATAGGCTCTAGATACGTAGTCCTTATCATGGTGTTTCACACATCAGCACGGAGACACCTTTCTCAACTTTAACCAAAAACATTGGTTACATTTTCAGCCACTCACGAATTCTATCCTCAAGCTTGTGTTTGTTTACTCATGAAAATGTTGTATACCCAGGACCTTTCCATTATTCATGTGTCTAAAGTCACCTGCACCTGCGTTCCAGACATCATTAAAGACATAAAATTATGAGGTTGTGACTGTGTCCTACCTGTGAGAATGGAGGCCCAGCGAGACTTGTTTGTAGACGTCGCATGTTGTTGATGACGTCCACCCTGCCATCGTCCTGCATTCTGCTGGCAATGTTTACCAGGAGGATCAGGAACCTAGCCTCACCCACAGAGCTGCAGTAAAGTGTCAGTACTTACTTACATGTACACAAGCCAGGGTCAGGGGTAGAGACTCACCCACAGAGCTGCAGTAAAGTGTCAGTACTTACTTACATGTAAACAATGTCAGGGGTAGAGACTCACCCACAGAGCTGCAGTAAAGTGTCAGTACTTACTTACATGTAAACAAGACAATGTCAGGGGTAGAGACTCACCCACAGAGCTGCAGTAAAGTGTCAGTACTTACTTACATTACACAAGACAATGTCAGGGGTAGAGACTCACAGAGCTGCAGTAAAGTGTCAGTACTTACTTACATGTAAACAAGACAATGTCAGGGGTAGAGACCCACAGAGCTGCAGTAAAGTGTCAGTACTTACTTACATGTACACAAGACAATGTCAGGGGTAGAGACTCACAGAGCTGCAGTAAAGTGTCAGTACTTACTTACATTACACAAGACAATGTCAGGGGTAGAGACTCACAGAGCTGCAGTAAAGTGTCAGTACTTACTTACATGTAAACAAGACAATGTCAGGGGTAGAGACCCACAGAGCTGCAGTAAAGTGTCAGTACTTACTTACATGTACACAAGACAATGTCAGGGGTAGAGACTCACAGAGCTGCAGTAAAGTGTCAGTACTTACTTACATTACACAAGACAATGTCCGGGGTAGAGATTCACAGAGCTGCAGTAAAGTGTCAGTACTTACTTACATTACACAAGACAATGTCAGGGGTAGAGACTCACAGAGCTGCAGTAAAGTGTCAGTACTTACTTACATGTAAACAAGACAATGTCAGGGGTAGAGACCCACAGAGCTGCAGTAAAGTGTCAGTACTTACTTACATTACACAAGACAATGTCAGGGGTAGAGACTCACCCACAGAGCTGCAGTAAAGTGTCAGTACTTACTTACATGTAAACAAGACAATGTCAGGGGTAGAGACCCACAGAGCTGCAGTAAAGTGTCAGTACTTACTTACATGTAAACAAGACAATGTCAGGGGTAGAGACCCACAGAGCTGCAGTAAAGTGTCAGTACTTACTTACATGTACACAATACAATGTCAGGGGTAGAGACCCACAGAGCTGCAGTAAAGTGTCAGTACTTACTTACATGTACACAATACAATGTCAGGGGTAGAGACCCACTCACAGAACTGCAGTAAAGTGTCAGTACTTACAAGTACACAAGACAATATCAGGGCTAGAAATATGCTATTCCGCTGTTAAGCGACTGTACAATCAGCTTGGCTGTTCATACAATATAATGGTTATCTGAAACCTCAGATCTACTTTCAGAAACATTTAAGATAACAGGTAATATTTACGTGTGGCGCTTCAGAGATAGGTTTATTTGTTACACGATGATCAGATAGAGCTAAAGATTATTAACGATGTTTATACTTTTGGTAGCTGTTGTTTTTAGGTGTTGAAATGGATAGATGAGAACACAATATTCATACTCTGAAACCATTGTGCAGGAGCCTCGTTGTGGATCACTCGTCCATGTCAGTAAGCTATCAATCAACAGAGTCACACTTGGGTCACGTGTACTTCCGGTCAAATGATAGTGCAAGATGGGTGTGATGATATCATCCCCCTGAAACACAGTTCTCATTAATATATTTTCATAGCAAAACAACAGTTAAATAGAAAGTACATTTCAAGTGTCAAAGTGAGTGAGTGAGTATATACCACAATATTTCAGTGATATCACGGTGGGGGACTCAGAAATCAGCTTCAAACATTGTTCCAATGTGGAGCATAGTACCCTGGCCTTCGACGTCATAAGTGAACGATTTTACCACTAATTAAGTTACATTCGAAAGGACACAGGCAGAAAGGTTTATGTGGAGTGTCATGCAAAATTGTAATGTTGTGTCGGTCATTGTTGCTTTGAAGCGCTGCTGTACTAAAACGTTTTAGAATCTCATTTCCAAGGTTCCTTAATGACATGCTGCTGTTATAAAGTTCTGCCTTGCTGTCAATCACACATTAAGTGCCAATTGTCACAACAACTAACCTGAGTTTAGTGAATAGCTCACATAACGTATCATTAGTGGGTGAGTGAGTTTGGTTTAACGCCGCTTTTAACACTATTCCAGTTATATCGCGGCGTGTCAGCTTGATGTGGGAGGAAAGCCCGAAGTGATGCAGGTCTCAGACGTTTACCACTTCGGTGAAACCCACGAGTACGGGTGTGGTGCTGACCAATCTAGAAACATAATCTGGGCGAACCGGGATTCGAACCCATAATCATAGGCTTCTGGCGTGCCCAAGGACGCAACTCTGCGCAGCGAATCGCGGCGTCTTAGGGGGCACTGGGCCACACGTATCATTAAGGCATGCATACTATGTGCTTAGACATAGATTAACCTCCAACAGAAAGTATATCAGCATTTTCCTGACATATTGTAAATATGTTTAACTTTGTGGTGTTTCATTATTGCCGAAGTGTATAGATTGTCATCATTTGCCATCGCAAGACCCTGTGTCCAACAGTGAAGTTATCACACTAGAAAAAAAACACATATAGTACCTTATGTTAACTTAATGAACGGAATGGACCCTTTTATAGATGACAATATGTACATGACTCGTAGGTGACCGAGATATGATGGAAGGATTGACTGTCATAGTTACCTACTTTTAGCATGTTTTCTGCTCTTCGTGAAACAGACATTTGGCAACAATTTGGCGACTTAATATGTTGTCTTTTCTCATAATAATATTATATTTGGTGTAGACAGATTGATTGTGATGCTTTTCCTCATTTTTCACTTAGCAAAAGAGCCGGCCTTACATTTACTGTGAGATCAATAGTGTTGACGATAACATTATTTGATATAACTTTAGTTGTCTTCATGCTTGCTGTCAGCCTCGATGTGGAGACAGGACAGTCAGTCGACGGGAGGTAGATCTGCAAGGCAATCAGCGTTAAGGTTAGTGACTGTTGCCCTTTCAGGATCTATATTGTGGATCTATAGATACATAAAATCGATAGCTACTGACGTTCGTCTCGAAGGAAGAAAAGTCATTAGAAGCAAGTTAATCTGAAATTATCTTTAACAACAGATTATGATATTTTCCAAAATGTTTAAGTAATATATCTACCAGTTGATCTGAAGCCCACGTGATCAAGGAACGCGAGTCGCTGTTATACACTTGATTCCACACTTCTTCTTTGTCTAGGTGTGACGTTATCAGGAAGAATCCCTTCCTTGATTTGTATGACTGAATTAAGATGTCATATATTACACGTGTATTTATGTTAATTACACCCATTCGACACACATAAACAATGCCATAAATAATCTTATCAACAATGCAACGTGGTTAGCTAAACACAGTACGTTACTTCACTCCATGGAAGAAAATATGGTGAATAGTTTCATTGTGAGTTAAGTTTGAACATATGTAATGTTAAGACATCTGATCTGGGAATCATATCAGTTAGTTAAAGCTAACCATATTTAACCCTCATTGCAAGGGAATCATGTCAAGAGTATCACACTTACCTCTACTGTGGTAATAGGACCTTCTGGAAGACCTCCTGAAAATATATAGTAAGTTCACTACAGCGTAACTGCAACTATCGGGTAAAGATGTCCTCGTGTTTCTAAAGTGTGAGCGTAGTTTCAGGTTGGGAAATGTGAAAAAAAGATACAACCGTTTTGGGGACGAAAAGGAACAGTTCACTTACCTCCAGATTCATTTCCCAAAGCCTAAAAGTAAAACATGTGACATTTGTATAATATATATATATATATATATATGTTTATCAAAACATATTCTAAACGATTAATTATTAAGTATGCTGCAATCACGATGATAGCTTTTGTACAAACAATTCCTATTTTCTGTCTTCCATGTATCTTAAGAGAATTGATGGTGTTACACACTGTATGGTGCACCTACCTCAATGTGCTCCTGTACAGATTTGTTACCCATGGTAACTGCAGACACGTGATTGAGATCTATATGTCTGACGACGTCAGCGTCCAGTGACGTGTCCCCCTCTGACACCGCCATAGCCACGGCCTGGTACAGGAACAGGTACTGCTCCTGGTGTCAGACAATAAGAAAATGATGCAAGGATACCAGAATATACAGCATATGAGCTACACAGCGTGTTGGTGGTGTACTCACTTTAGTCTGAATCATGTTCTTCCTCTGGCCTCTCATGTTGGAAACGAAGCTGACGACGTCCACAGTGCCTTCTGCCGCTGCCTGATCCACGAGACTCTCTATAGCGATGTATGTACCTGTGCGGCCTACACCAGCGCTAGAATAAGATGAGCAACTGGTGTAAATCACACGCAATTCCACATTTATCTTAATTAATAACGCGGATTATAAATGTAACAATGGTGTCCACGTGAAATGTTTGCATAAACAATATAGGTAATATGCTGTTTCTCTATATCAAAATTAAATTGCACGGTATAGCAAAGGGTAAGGTTACACATACAGTGAATCAACAAAGAAACAAATGCTCAGTGACATTTTATAAACATCAGTACAGAATCGTTTCCGTCAGTCCAGACCTTTATGCTGATATCCAACGCGATTAAACTCTAACCTGCAGTGAACTATGACAGGTTGTGTTTGCTGTCTTGCAGTGACCTTCACCCTCCACATAAACTCCAGCAATGCGGAAGTGTCGGGTACACCATGGTCCGGCCAACTTGTGTAGTGAAAGTGGTCAACATAGTGTATCTTGTCTTCCTGACATGAAACATTAAATACAATTTATAGAATTGTTGAATGGATCGGTGTACATAATCAGTGAGATTCCGAAAACCTTTTATCACAAACAAGTACATGGACGTATATCCTCGAAGAGGACATTTTTCGAGAACACTTTTAATTATTTGGGAAAATAATACCTTTTTAGCGTAAACAGACAATTTTGTGACTGTGTAGTTTGCTAGTCCTGTTTCTGTCTCCTTGGTAACTGTAATGTCGCCGTAAGTGAGAGTTCCCTGCTCTGGCCAGTACTGAAGACACTTCATCTGTAAATGTTAAATATAATCAAACATGACAAGTGGGATTAACATCTTAAATTCAAGTGGAACAGAATTATAAATTAATTAACATGAAATACTGCATCTACAATTACAGCGCATCCCAAGCATTGCTGTACAGAGTTGCGTCCCTTTGGCACGCCAGAAACTTATGATTGTGGGTTCGAATCCCAGTTCGCCCCGATTATGTTTCTAGGTTTGCCAGCACCATGCTCGTGGGTTTCACCGAAATGGTAAACGTCTTAGACCTGCATCACTTCGGGCTTTCCTCCCACATAAAGCTGACAAGCCGCGATATAACTGGAATACTGTTAAAAGCAGCGTTAAACCCAAGTCACACACTCACTGTATTTGGCATCAATGAAGAATTATTATTGATTTGCGTATCTCTTGTACTCCATCTGAACATGGAACCATTTCGTCGTTGTTTTCTTTCAAAATTATTATCCAGTCATAGCTGAACATTTACCATCTACTTGGGGAGGGAAACGTGTGGAAGATGCTCTTTAAAGGTGCAATTATTAATATTACCTTCCCTGCCTCTACAAGTCCCGTCACCATGACAACTGTTGTAACTTCCTCCTGATAGATCATTCTCCAGAAATCCACCACTACTTCAGGTCTGTAGGGACCTTAAGAATATGAATATGACACGATATGAATGTAACAAATATGTTAATCCAGAAGTATCCAGAAAAATATATATAAAGTTCAAATCCCCAACAAAGTATGGTTCTGTTTCACCAAATAACCCTTTGTGCCTGATTGTTTTAGTTCAAAGTTGTACACACTCATGATAAAAAGAAATTATACCAAATTACAAGTATTTCTTATTCAGCAGTTCAGTTAAGTCAAGCAGTTGCTTTCTGTAAGGATCAAATCTAGCCGTGTCGGTTGGCGTAAGTCCGCGTCTAATGTCTGTTCCTGTTTCGGTCATGCTAGCATGATAAGATAGATGATGTGTCGTGAGTATCGGAAAGCAAACTGTATCGCCACTCTTCACAAGTTCACAAAATAACAGGAAAAATGCACATATCCAAAGTAGGTTTGAATGCATGGGAATCACTCGTGCAACGTTTAAAATCCTGCAGTGAATGAATTGAAAATTTGTGTTTCGAATGAATGACATATGTATCTTGCTGACCTTTGGTAAACAATCAAATACGATGTGCAGTGACACTATGAAGCCTTACCTTGTGCTGCTATGTAACGCTTTTCTGCTTTATATCCCTGAAGAGAAGTTCCAAGTATTATAAGCGAAATTCAAACCATTGTATCAATAATGTAAATATAAAACGTCCATGCCAGAAACATAGTACATTGTAATGCCGTTACGTCAATGTAAGCAGTATAACACCAGTCAGCCAGGTTGTTTATTAATTGTTTTCCAAGCTGTATTCCATCTGTACAACTGATGTGGATAATAGAGAGCAGATAATCTAGTCACTGATATCCTGAACATCAGTCGATGAACTTTGGATATGATGAAATGCAATCAATCAAGTCACCAAGCCTGACCACTCTATCCATTTAGTCGTCTATTACGACAAGCACATGTCTCAATGGGGCGCTCGTATGTTCTTACCCTGAATACCTGTGGGCTTCCATACAGTGAATCAGTGGGACAGGATGCCAGGCAACAACTAGGCTGTCCCCATAAACTCAGTTTGCGTCAAAGATTACACATATGATTCCAACTTTACAACTGAACGTTTTACAAGTACGTGTAATCTGTCGCAGCAAGAGTAAATGCAGTAATTCTCAATTTGTGTTCCATGTTTCATTGAAAGTTGTTTCTCAACTCACATCGAGGTAGCTCGCGTTGATGTAGTCTTCGCCTCTGTCGTCACTCACGTCGCGCAGCACAACGCGGTTGTAGTTATCTGGCAACAAATACGAATTTGGTACGAATACATGGTCGATTTAGACTTGACATCAGATGATAAAGCGCACCTGACTAAAAATGTTTCATAAGAGTTAAGATGATCACTCTCATCTACATGGCCTACTCACATGGGTAATAGCCTCTGAACCTGTTCCTTCCCTTGTTTCTGGGCTGTTGAGATTCATCATAGGAGTGGATAAAACCATCAGGAAGTCGCTGAAAACACAAACAAGGAATACCTGTCACATACACACAAAGATAATTACAAAGCAAATCATCAATTCATATTGTCACAGCCAAGATGTATACTCAATCAAACAATTCAGATCATTCATCATCATATGAGTGGGTGAAACCATCAGGAATTCGCTGACAAAGCAAACAAGGGAAAATATGTCATATCCACACAATGATCATTACAAAGCAATCACTTATTCTCCATTACGGTCACAGCCAAGTTATATATTCTGTCATCCAAACTCAGATCTGGATGCCAGATCCAATTTACACGAAAGGATTTTGCCTGGTGTGTAACTGGATGTGTTTCGGTCGAGTTGTGCATTTCTCTCTGGTTACGGTCAAGCATGGGGAAATGAGGGATTGCAGGTTGTGCATGTGCTGAGCAGCATTCTAACTAAAGTCTATCTTGTTGGCAGACACAATTCACCTTCAGAAACAAGTACGAGCTGGTTTGCTACAATATTGATCGTTTGAAAGTGAGTAGAATTTTAGGTTTATTATTATGCTTTTTAAAGCAAATTTAAAGGATAGTTTTGCATAGTAAATGGTCATAATATCTAGTTAGACTTTGTGTAAACCAGTGTAACAGTTGTTTTTTCAGGGAATGTGAGTATGAAATTGAACTGTGTTAGTCTTATTTATTTTTGTTTTTGTTTAAGATGTGGATTTTATTGTAAATTAAAGGACATATTTACAGTACAACTTATTTGTTTTAATGACGATAAATTGTGTAAATAAATTAACTTAATGCTTTCATTGTATTTTAATGTGCTCTCGGGGTAGTGCACGACCTTTAGAAATTACCTTAAATTCCACTTCTGCACTTGCTATTGTCATTTCGTCCCCTCGTGTCTGAAGCCTGGACACGGGAATCACGTGATCACGCCCAGTATCGTCCAGGTTGTAGTAGTTTCTGTCAGGGACATCTGGTGTGTCCTCCACCTGTACGGGCTGGGCAGAGACGTCGTAGTCTTCCTCCTCCTCCTCTGCTCTCTTGGTGTCAAGGTTGCCAGTTCCATCTTTATCTGTATCCGTGCTATCATTCGTATATACAGCGTCCCCAGCTACATCGCCGTGTGATTCAAACTGGCCATGAACATTGGTCTTTTTACCTGATGTCTTCTTTGAAGACAGCACTGGTTTCTCTTCTTTTTCGAATCCGACATTCATGTACATACCGTTGTTTTCAACTGGCGGAAACACAACAAAACCTATCTTATATAAGAGTGAGAATGTTATTTGGGTTTAACACTGCTTCGAACAGTATTCCAGTTATTTCACGACATCGTTTTCTAAGAGTCCGACGATCGAATGTAACATTAGTCCTTATCATGTATGGGAGAAGGCATGGTGTGTACAGATTAGACATAGGCAATCAGGGTTGAATTTGTTGGACATCACAAGAAGCAAATATATTTCAATGCCCATGTTCCTCACGCATCATATTAATATCACTTGGTTGATTTAACTTGCATGTTTCTGTTCTGCCTCTATGCATGGTATCAGAAACATATATGTTTGATAAAGGGAGCAAAATAATTAATTAAAGAGATGCAACTACCTTGTTTGGGTGTTAAGTTACCAGCAATGACTGGCTGGAGTGTGGGGCTTCCATGTTTTTTCCCACGTCTTCGTCTAAATTTAAAGACACAAAGTGGAATATAATCATTAATAGAACAATGTCATTTTGTAATAAATATATACGCAGGTATGGTATTTCAAGATATTTCTGGGTTTTGACATTGGTATCTCACGAGTTGTCAAGGGTTGACCCGTTTGGGACAAAACTGACCTGATCAGGATGACTGCAAGGACCACCACCAGAACCACCACCACCAGGCCAACAACAGCTCCTACTACAGCGGGGATGGGATCAGGGGTGCCGACAGACTCACTGGGGCCTATAAGAACTTTCCCTGTATATAGAGTGCGAGTAGATTACAGTCGATATGATAAATACATATATCTGAGCCCTTCTCTCATTAAATAAAAGAAAAGTGCTCTTCTACCATGCAGTGTTTATAAAAAGATGTACATTCAGACTATACAAAGACCGGACTTGATACGCATGATAACTTCACATGAGTATTGGTCTAAAGAACAACAGGGCTGACGATCCCAGAACAGCTTGCTGAATGTCCAGTTATTTCTATTAATTTCCTAACTGCATCATTGCTATGTGAACGAGTTTTGAATAGCTGATCTCATTTTAATCATCTTTCCAACATTGATGACAGTATTATATGATGGTGATTTATCAACATATGTGCATAATATAATTGGAATCATACAGTCGACTCTGCCTTCAGCACAGATTTGTAGAAAGGTTTTTTTCCGCTTTTATTGGTGTACACCATAGTATGTGTAGCAAAGAAGGAATTATAGTCAGGTCACAAATCAGGTGCAGTTAAGCAGCGTCTGTCTCGGAGAATAGTTCGATGGGTGACCACGCTCGGCACCTTGACTCTGGAGAGTTTCAATGGCTTCGATCCTGCTCCACACTGAAGCACCATGTAGCAAATTTTGTGTTTACATCTTCTTTTGTTCCAAATATACCTCTGTTCACCCAGCGTTACCTGGCAGGAAGAGATGGTAGTTATTTTTATTATAACTGTTAACCTTCTAGCTCCTGTCAGGCAGCTTGGTCCGAATACACCCCGGGCAGCTGAGGATAACATCGGGTGGACGCTGATCCATTGATCGCGGTAATATTGTTAGCGCTATGAGCATACACCTTGTGTATTATATCTATCACAATATAAGTACAAACATTATTGTTAAATATTTTAGGAGGTAATGAAAAACTATACTGACCTTTGTCAATTTAGTGATTGATGTGTCACATGTCCAAAATATAACGCTATCAATAAATCTATCATTGGAAATATAACTTCGGCGGTCTCTAAAGTTTGGTACAGCAATATTTAAACATCATTATAGTTGTTTTTCTTCTGCCTCACGGAAAACACTTTACAAGCAAAAGCTTTTTACTGCCGAAATAATCAATCAATCAATCAAGTTTATTTCGTAATTCAGGCCACATAGTACAGTTGTAAGATAAATAACATTTTAGGTCACATGTCCAGAGTGTTACATCTCTGTCGATCTCATTTTAAGTTATTTACATAAATATAAATATGTCAAGCATTGTACAGTAATATCACATGATTTAAATGAATATGTAAACGTAATATTACCTATATAATATTTCTGTAATGAGGTAAAAAAAAGTATTTCTCAAGTGAAAATATTTCTTACATAAAAAAAAAGACATGGTTTTCATCCTCTACTAAATTTAAGTCACATTCTTTACATATAGATTCTGAATGAGGTATATTTAACAATGACCTTTCACGAATAATGTTGAGATAATAAGTTGTGAAGTGATATTCGAAATTTACACATTGCTCTTACTAATCGTTTGTCTCTGAGTATTGTTATGTATAATTCGGGTTGCAGAAGTGATTTTACATTATCATAATGCACTAAAAAAGTAGAAGACTCTAAACTGTGGTACCATGATTGGAAATATATATCTTTTTAGCGTCTTCTAAATGCAGATAAAAACATGTTCTTATCACTAACATCTTGTAATAACCACACGTAAGCAAAACCGCTATTACATAACATTTCCGTCACATACGATGCCCAATTGACTTTTCCATTCTCATCTAATACTTTGAGCATAACATAACATTGGAACATTGCATTCATTCGCAAAAGCTTAATCCAGTACTTAATTACCCTTATTTGCGTATTTATAAACATACAATGACGTCCAGTTTCACCCAGAATAGCTTTGTTTGATGCAAATTTACCCATACCAAGAAAACGTTTTAAATGGCATGTTTGTATCTTTTCAATTGTATCAAAATATTTAATACCCCATATTTCCGAACCATACATCCATATTGGAGCGATTTTACTGTAAAATACTTTACAAGCAGTCGAGAAATCTATAAATCTGTTATTATTAAACAAATAAAAAACTGGCCTTATTGCCTTCCGTGCTTGTAAGGCAAGGGTTTCACATGCTTTAGACCATATAAACCGGCATATTAATAATGTCTCTTTTGAATAGATAGATAGATGTTATTGGAAAAGTCTTATTTGTAAATGTTTCAAAATATAAGCTGAAACTGACGTATGGTTCACCCCCGTGAAATACCAACTGCTTCCTTAGAGATACCTCTGTTACGTGCATATGGCATAATGTCTGTACAGATTACCCAACTTATGTTTTTCATCGTTACGATTTGTTTCCACCCTTTTACATAACATCTCTCACCAATGTCCCTTCACACCGGCTACGACCTTGCTATTACAACCTTCCTATTACCCTCATGAGTGTAACATAATGTCATTACCTGTACAGTCAGCCAGTGTCCATCCCGTCTCACATCCACTGTCACAGGCCCCTGTTGCGTTACAGGAAGAATTCCCCAAACAGTGTCTGGAGGAGCAGGCACTAAGACAGTTTGGTCCATAATGTTTGGAATCACAATCTGGAATTAGATGGCAGAGATACCAACCTTCTTATGCTTCCTATAAGGAGTAATGCACATATTGTAGTGAAAGTGAAAATTATATTTGAACCACATTGATTTCTTATTCACTTACTCTTACACTTACTATTAATTTCAATATGTGTAAGTGAAAATTATATTTGATCCACATTGATTTCTTATTCACTTACTCGTATAGTTACGATTCACTTCAATATGTGAAAGTGTAAATTATTTTTTAACCACAGTGATTTCTTATTCACTATAGTTACGATTCATTTCCATGACTCACCATATTTACAGTCAGCACCCATCCAGCCAGCTTCACACCCAAAATCGCATGTTCCTATCACGTGATCACAGGATGATTTTCCTGCACAGTGTCTGTCAGAGCACAGTCCACTGCAATTTGCACCATATTTTCCAATGGCACATTCTGTAACAAGAACGGAAGAGGTCACAACTGACAGGCATTTAATAGCAGGGTAGATGTAAACTGATTCCCTTTATGGTAACCTTGTGGTATGACAGGCGTTTTCCAATCTTAGGGACCACAGTAACCCAGTCGTCCTATCAATAACTTATCATGATCTGTCTTCTTGCTCGACCTCCCAAGTGACTTTTGTAATTAATGTGTCTTTTTACCAATAAATGTTAAACATTCTTTACCTTGTGTGCAGTCCTCATCTATCCACCCAGGACGACATCCTGTGTCACATGCTCCAGTGCGAGGGTCACATGACGAGTTGGTAGCTAAACACTTCCGCCAAGCACATGTTTTGTTGCAGCTGGTACCATAGTTAGTGTTGTTGCAAGCTATGAAATAATAACAACAGTTAGAGTATTTACATTGCGTATAAATGAGTGTTGTGAAGCATTTGGGCTGTAAATTGTGCTGGATAGTCGGTTCAAGAAATGTATAAAACAAGTCAATATGTAGTATAAATGCACCACTTAAAAGGGCCATAGTATCACTAACACCACGTGACAGTAAGACCTCAACAACATACGCATGTAGTGATTCCCATGCTTCAATCTTGACTTCCTATAGTGGCACTCATGTCGCTCTGTACAAAAGGGTCGCCAACTACAGTGTTGAGGACAGCTCACTCGGTCACACCAGACCTTACAGTAATACCTCCTCACCTGTGTCACATCTCTGTCCCTGCCACCCTGGTCTACAGTCTCCAATACACACACCACTGACTGGGTCACACTACACCTGACAGTAAGACCTCCTCACCTGTGTCACATCTCTGTCCCTGCCACCCCGGTCTACAGTCTCCAGGACAGAATCCAGTCAAGCGATCACAGCTTGAATTCAGGCAGTGACAGAACGTATCACAGTTCACCCCGTAGATTCCTGGACTGCAGGCTGTTGTATTAGGAAGACAAGATTACTGCATTTGAGTGTATTGAGAGATTGGGAGAGGGCGGGGAGTGGAAGTGAATTTGTGTACAACAATATATACAATATACGATTACAATATTTTTTTACTCGCATGACGATGGACATGCAAATATTGTTGTGTGACGCTGCGTGTACCAGTCTGCACTTATAATGTCGGTTTTATAGTATTAACCAACTGAGACACAATACTACAGTTTAACTTGCATACCCCACTCAGGGAGTGAGTGAGTTTGGTGTTTCGCCGCTTTTAGCAATATTCCAGCAATATCACGGCGGGGGACACCAGAAATGGGCTTATCAAATTGTACCCATGTGTGGAATCGAACCCGGGTCTTCGGCGTGACGAGCGAACGCTTTAACCACTAGGCTACCCCCACTCCCCCGCATACCCCTCTCTAACATATTAGAATAACTCCAAGCCGGTCAGTCCTTGTTTTATCTCCTTAATATCATTCAGGGAAGCAACCGTCCTTTAACGTCTTTCGATGTGACGCTGCCAGGGAATAGCACCACCGAAGGGTCACAGACAGGAAGAGCAAAGGAATTGTGAGATTTAGTTTAGGTGATTAGGGCATACGGTCCTTTGAATAAAACAAATATTCATATGAAGGATATAGAAACGCATAAGGTATGCATAAATAGAAAGGAGAATTATCAGAGGATCACAATAGCTGAACTCCTGGAAATAAGAACGGCTTTGTTGTATCTAGCTGACTTGATCAGCCATATTGATAGCTCTCAGCGCCTTGAGGTTGAACATCACTAAACTGGTTAATAAAGCTGAACTGTATTTGTTAAAACAGTGTCACACTGCCTCAGATATGTTTCATACAGCTTCTAATATTCTACGATTAAACTCTGAAACCAAACTTACAAATTTAAAGCACATTTGCTATAAAAGGGCAGTGAAACATGGGTATCAGTGGCACAAGAATGCATAAATGCAATCAAAGATTTACCATATATCTCCACCTCACAGATGTTCAGTGCGCTAGCGTAGCCATCGCCTCCTCCCGTCCCCTGCTTCATGATAGTCACCTGTCTGCCGGTACCGTTACACGTCACGTCAGTAGGGTTGGGTGTAGAAGACGAACTCGGTAGTGTGGAGCAGATGTTTGAAGTGTCATTGTTCAGGTAGATATCAGAGTTCGCGTTTCTCCCGTAGACTGACGTAATAACACAAAAAGCAGAGTCTCAAACTACACTGGACTATGATATTGTTTGAAAATGTAGCTAATAGCTGATATATCTCAGCTATATGTTCACATAAACATATGGCCTTACACATTGGCATAATAAAGTGACAGATACACACGTACACACAATTCTCAATGCATGATTTAAAGTGTATGGGATTTATACAATTCACATAAACTTCTGGCCGCTAGCAATAATTACAACATCACATAAAGCTAATACATCATAATATTATTGGTGAAAAGCACGATATCCCGCGTATATTTCACACGATTTATATATATATATATATATATATATATATATATATATATATATATATATATATATATATATATACAGTAATTCGTTTTTATCATGTTCGGCTATCTTTTGTTTGTTTGTCAATATTGCAGCTATAGACGGTGGTCTGTAATAATCGAGTCTGGACCAGACAATCCAGTGAGCATCGGCCCATGCAATTGTGATTCGATGACATGTATCAACCAAGTCAGGGAGCCTGACCATCCGATCCCGTTAGTCGCCTCTTACGACAAGCATAGTCGCCTTTTACGGCAAACATGGATTGCTTAAGGCCTATTCATCAGTAAAATTAATGTCAGTGTGTTTGCTAAACATATAAAATACGGTAAAAAAACAACCGCATTGAGAAGTGAAAACCAAGAATATAACATAACTCAATGCCCTAAAAATATGCAGAATTATCTAAGATGATAAGATAAGATAAGAGATATATATTTATGGTATAGCAATCTTACATACTGTCATGTTAGGAGGCGAGATTTAAGCCATTCATGCATTCGACCACAAATAGTGCTGTACCTTGTCGAATGAACCACCCCCGTCGGCAAACACAAAAATACAATAAAAGAGAACACTCAGCAGGCAGTTATCTCAATGATACACAGAGCACTGATGAGGGGTCCGTACTGATACAAATGGAATGTTTGTCGAGTAACATTCAACAAGGCAAGTGACCTTCAAATACCTCAAGTGACATACGAAGTGTTAGTCAACAGCGGCCGTCGATCTGCCTTTGGTCCAATCTTCCTTGTCACCACTACAGTCTGACTCAGTGTTTCTGGCAATTTACACATTTTCCTACATGTACGTTACATGTCCTCGACAATGCTACTATTTTTGAAGCCATATCAACTTTCACGACCTTCCGTCTCAAAAATGTCAGCAGTGAACTAGAATAACGTTCACAGCAACTGCAACTATGATGTTTTATTAGTTATCAAGGACAAGGCCATATACTAGCTAGTTGTAGAAAGTACCACTTAAAGATTTTCGGCGTGTATTTGGGTTCCTTTGTCTTTTGTTTGTGTCAAAATTACATTTCGGAGTTATGTATATAGTATAAATCTCATTACAGCTTGTCACATCTTAAAAGGGGGCACGGATGGCCCAGTCGCCTAAGGCGCCGCGATTCGCTGTGCAGAGTTGCGTCCCTTGGGCACGCCAGAAACCTATGATCGTGGGTTCGAATCCCGATTATGTTTCTAGGTTTGTCAGCACCATACCCGTGCTCATGGGTTTCAACGTGGTAAACGTCTGAGACCTGCATCTCTTCGGGCTTTCCTCCCACATTAAGCTGACACGCCGCGATATAACTGGAATACTGTTAAAAGCGGCGTTAAACCAAACTCACTCACTCACATCTTAAAAAACAAAATGGCTATTACCGTCAGTGAGTAAAGTAAAAGTAACGGAATTTTCTCAACTGTGCCGAATGCCCACTGTCTTTCCATATGTAACTCAAACACGGGGTAAGCGCTGTCCATGCCAAACCGGTAGGTAGCAACTACCATGTTCTCACTTGACAGAGCACCCGAGCTCAGGAAGCAAGATTTAGGCAGGTTTTGGGCCGTTTTAATTTAATTTGTTAACTAAATCGAACTTACATCATGCACCGGGTCAAAATCTTTATTGTCTTTATAAACAACACTCAATAAAAAGTTCGATATTTTTGTCTTTACTTTTGATGTAATCTGGCGTGATAGCGACGAGTTGACAACTTGGTACCTTTCAGCGTGAAAACGACATTATTAATTCATAACAGCGTACTTATGTGTCAGTTTTAGATTTATAAGGCTTTTTCAGGATTTGTACCACTGAATAAGCTTTGTGTGATGAATATATTCTGAGATATTTAACAAATCTGTACGAGTTGTTTGTAGTTGGCTGCGTGAACAAATGTACTGTTAAGGTTGCTCGAATAATACTGTCGAGGTAGTTTGTATAAGAATGTTACATTGATTTGAACAGATTCAACAGTTGGCACATTGATGAAAACTGTTCTTGTTAAAGACATTTTGGTCCTTCATTGTATTTCATCAACCTTGTGTTTGCTGTGAATAGCTGCAAAATCCCTCTTGTTGCATCAAGAAATAACGTGTTCACACGCTTGTTGAATAAAAGCGACAAAACATCTTCATAAAATATGGTCTACAAGCAGAGTCGATAGTTCGATTCCAACTATATTATAAGCTTGTGTTTATGAATCACTATCAAATACTGATGATACCAGGTGCTCGTATACCTCAAACATTTGTAATGTTGACACTAAAGGCTGGGGCTGATGGAATATTACTCGACATAAAGGGAGAGTTGACTGTTGGAAAGATAAAGCCATTTGTCATACTGTCATGTGGATAGCTTTCTTTTTGTCACTGAATTATTACGCATAGATCTAAATGTGAAACAGGTGAATATGTTTTCCATTTTGACCATTATTGAACGATATCAGATCAACGATATACAGGAAGTTTAAGTATAACTTCTTGGCCAAATTCCCTTGTTTTGGAATTCTGATTCATATGTATAAAGAAACAGTTCAGCCAGAAGGGGAGCATAATTGGTGCCCAAGGGGATGCTTAGTTCTTGCCTACAAGGTGAGGTGAAATTGGGTTAAACGTCACGTCCAAGATTATTGCACTTATATAGCGACGTGCATGCACGTGTGTGTGTTTTGCTGCTTGTACTAGTCCGGACTGACGCCGATTTATAGTGCTAGCTCACTGAGATACCATGCCGCAGTTTAACATGAATACCCCACTCAGACACAGTATACTAACTCCGAGCCGAACAGTCCTTGTTTTAGCCCCTTAATGTCGAGCGCCAGACAGGGTAACAACGAGTACCATCTTTTAACGTCTTTTGGTATGACGCGGCCGGGGATCGAACCCCGGACCTTCCGCTCTCCGGGGGGACGCTCTACCACAAGACCACGGAGGCGGCTTCTTGCCTACAAGCTTTATACTTAAATATCCCTCAAAAGTTATCAATGAGGAAGTCCCGCAATTCACAAATTGTTTTCTCAGTCAACTTCAGATGACAGTTGCTATAATTTGGAACAGTTCCTTCTGAACCTTTGATGATAGAGATATAACTATGGTCACCACGTTTTGTAACAAATGTTCCATTGATCAAAGAGTTGAGTTTTTCCCTAAGTTTGTCATGGCTGAAGATGTACCATTCTAAATATATAACTGCATGTGAAACGATTTCACTGTATTCAATAAAAATGGCTTCCATCAGTCCCAGAAGGCTACATATCCGCAACATGGCATGTTTGGTTCTTCAGCAATTTGAAAGGCAGGAACAAGGTTGACATGAGATGTTGACAAGCTCCAACTACAGTAAACTATGGTTATAACGAGCTCAAAGGGACCACTTATTTTAATTCGTTATAACCGTAGTTCGTTATAAACATATGTACAGCATACATACAACAAATGGACGGGACCAAGAAATAGTTTGTTATATCCGTCAGTTCGTTGTAAGCGTGTTCGTTATTAACGTAGTTTACTGTACCATGACAGTCGGTAAATACATAAAGTCAACAAGCCAGACAGTGTTAAACCAACTATCATCGACCCGTACTGTTATCTCAGAATATATTCATCACCCAAAGGTAATTTAGTGATACAAATCCTAATATAGCCTATAAAGCTAAATATAGCCTATGAAACACAAACGTTCGATAGTATAAATCCTGTGTAAAACATAAATTGTTATAGTCAGGTAATCGCAGACATATGGCTAGAATATGTTTGTTTTCTAAAACAGGGTATTACTACCTTTTGATGCATGCATTTAGCTGAGGGTCTGTTCGTCTTTTGTTGACACTATTAAACCTTGAGAGGGACTTATATCTGAGGTTATTCACTGACGTGGGGTGTTGTATTATCAGTAAATGATGTCCAAACTACAACTAAGTTACTGATGTTTGTTATTTACATAAATAGTGAGTTTGGATGGAATGTGATAAAATGCTGACGATAATTCAGGCAAGAAGTTTAGGTTAACATTCTTTGGTACATGTTAATTAAGAAGTAAGTATTTTCTTAGACTGCTGATATCATCCACTGTAGATAAGGATGCCTGGATACCTACAATTACGTCTGCTGTAGATCCTGATGTCATACAGCTGGTAGTCCCGGCCCAGATCCACTGTCCAGTCTGACGGAGATCCACCAGCGTGGAAACATGTTCTAGGACTACCAGCTATGTCACTGTCTCCGTCCACAGCATTTGAAGTTAACCAGGCGCCAAACACTCCGGATGTTGTGGATGCTGTCTTGTTCAGTGCAATGTTTTCTACGTACATTGAAGAGCAAGAATCACGTCATAAACTTTACAATGGTCGCTGTATATACTATGCTGAAGATGATCCTTGCTCGGTGAGTAAAATCATTATGGAATACAGCATTCATGAAAAAAATATACATTTAACATATTGCCCAAATATACTTTCATAACTTGTATATCCTGTGTGAAATACACGATATGGGGTGACGTTTAAGTGATTATCCATGTACATGTTTACATGTAAGGTGGCGGTCGAAAGCACTAGTGGTATTTGTAATGAAAATCAACATTGAAAAACATTGCACATTCATGTTTTCGGCTGATTCTACTTATATATAGAAATATATATGTTGGCAATATATGAGTTACATGTCGAACACTTTGCACTCATATCATAGAGCAAAATATTTAACGCATCAACATAAAACACGTAAAATGTATGTGGTACTGACGTTTCTGGCAAAGCCCTCCTCCCTTCGTCCATCCTTCATCACACTCTCCAGAACAGGCACCTGTTGTCTCGGCACAGGATGCCCCACAGTGACAGGAGTAGCTACAGAAGTCTCCAAACTGACCTGATGGGCAGGAACCTATGGATAGACATAGAGGTGTGAGATCTTCTGTGACAGCTTCAGGAGTCTCAAAACAGTCTTTGTGGACATAGATATATGGAGAGATATAGAGGTGAGAGATTTTCTGTGGCATGAGTAGCTTCAAGAGTCTCCAAAATGGCCTGGTGGGCAGGAACCTATGGAGAGACATAGAGGTGTGAGATCTTCTGTGACAGGAGTAGCTACAGGAGTCTCAAAACATCCCCTGTAGACAGGAACCTAGGGAGAGATACGGAGAGGTGAGATTCAACAGTGACAGGAAGATCTACAGTCCCCAAACTGCCTGTAGAGCTTTGAAACGTGGGCGAGGTCTGACTTAACAGTTAAGAATTGCCCTGTAGTAGATATGCTAAGGACGAATCCCCATTTAGATTCACGTTAATACTATATGCAACTTAATGATACATGTCCCAAGAGATCAGTCATACTTGGCCATATATATATGCTCACATTCAACAGATCTGCTGTGAAACTCCCGCATAGATAAGTGCAGCAAGTTTGATTCACATACATTATGTCTTTGTTGTAAAACGTTAAATCGACTCTCTTACTTTCTACTAAATGTTCATGTCACAAAATTACATGAAAACAACGAAACTTGTTTTATTCGCACACGAAATATTACCAAGCTATTTATCGTTAAGGCAATGATTATTATTCGATGATAACAAACTTCTGTGGCGTGGTTGCATGTTTAATAGAAAATAGGAACATACAATGCCATTTAGAAAGTGGTCAAATGTAACACAAGTGGGATAACTCTTTCTTAATAAAGTACAGATTTTCGTAATTTTGTTGCTTGAGTTGCGTTGGGGAGTGAGGCACCTAATCGCAAACACAAAATATCGGCGATCTAACCCATTCTGCCAACGAGGCTTCCACAAAATGAAAGTCCGACAACTGGTAGTCCAGATCACATACTTTGTGTACCCCTCTGACAAGTGTAAATTGGTATCGCTCCCAAAGCCGAAAGCTATAAACACACAATGCCATTTAGAAAGTGGTCAAATGTAACAAATGTCATATTCGGGATAACACTTTCTTAGTAAAGTACAGCTTCTCCTACTAAGAAGGTGTTATCCCAAATATAACATTTGTTACATTTGACCGCCTTCTAAATGACATTGTGCATTCATAGATTTCCTTGTAAACAGACAAGGTGCACATTCAATTAAATGCTACATGTACATTTGTGTGTGTATGTATATCATACCTTGTACTCGTTGTCAAGGGGTAACCACTCTCATTCCTCATATAAATTAACTTCCCTTGACATGAACAGATCACGGTTACCTCGACAACTTGGAAAGTGTCACAACCGAAATAAACGAAAACGGTATGTTGTTTCAAGTAACATTTTGTATGGAATGAGTGTAAAGCTATCATCTGGAATGCACTGTCAGTGACATATGCCATCTGCTGTTCGTGCTTTTAAAGTGCAAGTAGAAAACACTCGAATTTAATTTGTGGTCAGAAATGATGCAGTTGACACATACTGTCGAATCGTTTTCTTCAACATGCCGTCTTTTGGCCGCCACTGTACCAGTCGTTAGATCCTAAGACAGGTCCGACCATGTCTTAATTCTTTTTTCGAAAACTTAAGAGAACTTAGCGCTAAGACGGCATTGAAAATAGACTTAGCTAAGATTTCTTTCGTTACGAACCCTTTACGCCAGTCTTAGCGCAAAGACAGTTCCGGGAGAAGGCCACCTGAGGTAGGGGTGATATAAACCTGGGATAGAGATGACAGGACCATTGGGTAGGGATGAAAAGACCCGGGGCTTGAGATTACAGGACCGTAGGGTAGCGATAATTGGTCCCTGTGGTAGGGATGACATGATGCTGGGGTAAGGGTAAAAGTACCCTGTGGTAGGGATGGTATGACCCTTGGGAAGAGATGATATGACCACAAGGTGGGTATAACATGACCCATGGGTAAGGATGAAAAATCCCTGGGACAGGGATGATAGGAACCTTGTGTAGGGATGATCGGACCCTGGGGTACTGGTGACAAGACCCTGGGGTAGGGACGATAAGCCCGTGGGGTATGGATGATAAGCCCGTGGGGTCAGGATGATAGCACCCTAGGGTAGGGTTGATAGGGCCGTGGGATGGGGATGATAGCGCCCTGGGGTAGGGATGATAGCGCCCTGGGGTCGGGATAATAGGGCCGTGGGATGGGGATGATAGCGCCCTGGGGTAGGGATGACAGGGCCCTGGGGTGATGATGATAGGGCCGTGGGATGGGGATGATAGCGCCCTGGGGTAGGGACGATAAGTCCGTGGGGTAGGGATGATAGCGCCCTGGTGTCGGGATGATAGCGCCCTGGTGTCGGGATGTTAGCGCCCTGGTGTCGGGATGATAGCGCCCTAGTGTCGGGATGATAGGGCCCTGGGGTGGGGATGATAGCGCCCTGGGGTCGGGATGATAGGGCCGTGGGATGGGGATGATAGAGCCCTGGGGTAGGGACGATAACGCCGTGGGGTAGGGATGATAGCACCCTGGGGTAGGGATGATAGGGCCCTGGGGAAGGGATGATAGCACCCTAGGGTAGGGATGATAGGGCCGTGGGATGGGGATGATAGCGCCCTGGGGTAGGGACGATAAGTCCGTAGGGTAGGGATGATAGCACCCTAGGGTAGGGATGATAGGGCCGTGGGATGGGGCTGATAGCGCCCTGGGGTAGGGATGTTGGGACCCTTGGGTATGAATGATACGGATGACTGAACCTCGGGTCATGGAAGACAGGACTGTTATTTGATTTTGTCCCATTCAACCAGATCTGGAAACACATTCTGTTGGGACCAAGACATAGATGTTTCACGTGTCGGTGCACGAGTACATGTTGTGATCTGTTTACATTATTTTGAAGGTCGGGATGATAGGGCCGTGGGATGGGGATGATAGCGCCCTGGGGTCGGATGATAGGGCCGTGGGATGGGGATGATAGCGCCCTGGGGTAGGGACGATAAGTCCGTGGGGTAGGGATGCTAGCGCCCTGGGGTCGTGATGATAGGGCCCTGGGGAAGGGATGATAGCACCCTAGGGTAGGGATGATAGGGCCGTGGGATGGGGATGATAGCGCCCTGGGGTCGGGATGATAGGGCCGTGGGATGGGGATGATAGCGCCCTGGGGTAGGGATGTTGGGACCCTTGGGTATGAATGATACGGATGACTGAACCTCGGGTTATGGAAGACAGGACTAAGGGTACAGATAACAGGACTGTTATTTGATTCTGTCCCATTCAACCAGATCTGGAAACACGTTCTGTTGGGACCAAGACATAGATGTTTCACGTGTCGGTGCACGAGTACATGTTGTGATCTGTTTACATTATTTTGAAGGTCGGGATGATAGGGCCGTGGGATGGGGATGATAGCGCCCTGGGGTCGGGATGATAGGGCCCTGGGGTGGGGATGATAGCGCCCTGGGGTCGGATGATAGGGCCGTGGGATGGGGATGATAGCACCCTGGGGTAGGGACGATAAGTCCGTGGGGTAGGGATGCTAGCGCCCTGGGGTCGGGATGATAGGGCCCGGGGGAAGGGATGATAGCACCCTAGGGTAGGGATGATAGGGCCGTGGGATGGGGATGATAGGCCCTGGGGTAGGGATGTTGGGACCCTTGGGTATGAATGATACGGATGACTGAACCTCGGGTCATGGAAGACAGGACTAAGGGTACAGATAACAGGACTGTTATTTGATTCTGTCCCATTCAACCAGATCTGGAAACACATTCTGTTGGGACCAAGACATAGATGTTTCACGTGTCGGTGCACGAGTACATGTTGTGATCTGTTTACATTATTTTGAAGGTCAACGCAGCACACATTCGAATCAGCAATGCAATATGTTTGTAATTATCATCATTGTAATAACTAAGTTGCTAATAGTGATTTAAATTTGAATAGATAAAAAATACTGCATATTTATACAGTAACACATGGCATGTAAGCTTATTCAGCTGATTAAGACAACATATGGAAGAGAAAGGTACATTATGGGGACTACATAACAATGTCAGTCTTTCTCAAGGGATGCTATATGATCATTCTTGCCAGAGTATCAACACAGCATATTCAAGGGTAGACTGGGTCACCTATATGAATCACTTCCAAAACTTGTTTCCTTAGACTGTTTTCGATATCACAGTTTAGACAAATAGACAATAGCTAACCTTTTATCGCCCCAGGGGGGTGATGTACACATACTTGAGAAATATCATCGTAACAAACCCATCTGATCTACTCACCCCATGTCAGCTGTGTCCATCCTGCGAACGCCACCACAGCGAGTATCCTGACACCCGCCATGTTGAACAACGAGGAAGTGAAATACCCTGTCAAACTGTGTTAAACGTTCCGCACACTGCACATCTACTGTGTGGTGTATATACACTCGCAGTAATATAGCTCAATATGTATTTATATTTGAATTCATAAGGGGGCGATTCCAAGGTTTACAGGACACATGCATGTACATCCTAACTTACAACAAACAAAGTGTTCAGCTTTCAGGTTCGTAATCCCTGTCACATTGCCTCAAATGCATATACATCCTTGTCCGACGGCTAGGCGGCGAGACTTCATCAAACGTGTGTTCTATGCAGGGATGGACGTGGGTAGACACACAGCTACGGTTTTGATCAATGAGGGTACATTGTGGGACAGTTGGGTAGTGTCAACAGCTCGCACTCCCTACCTGATCCTCCTACGCATGCATGTGACTCATGGACCCGCTGTGAGGTTTGCTTCACAACAGAGGTAACAGGGTAGCTTCCATCTATGTCACGTGCGGTCAGCCCTGACGATGTATCAGTGAGGCCTCGAGAATATCTCGTAGCAGAATACTACATATCTGTTGGGAATACCACATATCTATTGGGAATATTACATCTATTTTGCCTTTTAATTGTACGTGTCTTATATACCACGAGAGACATAATTTAACTATGCAATAATACCTTCATACAAAATAACACCCACGTAATTATTACAGATTAAAATATTCATTACTACGTTACATTTCAGTAGTAAGTAGCCCCATTTTTGCGAACCTTTCACACAATTCTCCCTGCACAAGGGCAGCACTATTTTTGTTATAATGTCTTGTTGTCTGCACAGTCGTGAGAACAGTACATGCCTTATTGAAGCGACACTTTCAAAGATAGAATATCAGAGGCAATAGTGAGTGAGTATGGTTTTACGCCGCTTTTAGCAGTATTCCAGCAACATCAAGGCGGGGAACACCAGAAATGGGCTTCACACATTGTATCCATGTCGGGAATCGATCCCGGGTCTTCGGCGTGACGAGCGAACGCTTTAACCACTAGGCTACCCGACCGCCCCAGAGGCAATATAGAGGCATCATCACAGCACAACATAGTGATCATTTGTGCAAGTACATTTCATAATATTCTACTCTGTACTATTTAAATAACTAATCATAAAATCTACTATTTCTTTTCATAATCATAACAAAATCGGCTAAAAGCAGAGTTGTCCGACTATATCATAAACATCAAACAAACAGTGATGACACCTGGCGTTTGCAAAATGATGAGTGTATGTTGCGCCTTTCAAACACAGGTGAAAAGATACGCTACATTAACTGACCATTTGGCTACATTAATGTAGGTTGTGTTGTGGACATACAAAGATGCTTGAATACATAAAATCCTATAAAATTAGTATCTCCGTCAAGCAGTTGGTTGGTTGGTTGTTTAACGCCGCACTAGCAATAGTCCAGCTATATGACGGCGGTCTGTATATAATCGAGACCAGACATTCCAGTGATTGACGCCATGAGCAATCCACGCAATTGGGATACGATACCATGCATCAACCAAGTCAGCGAGCCTGACCACCCTATTAGTCTCCTCTTACCAAAAGCATAGTCACCTTGTACGGCAAGCATGGGTTGCTGAAGACCTATTCTACGCCGGATCTTCACGGGTCCTACATTTGGCAGAGCCAGCATGTTTTACCAAACAAGTGCTGCATGCTTGGGTGCGTGTAGAGCATTCGCTCTATTCGTGCAAATTGCGTGGATCGGTGCTCATGATGTCAATCACTAGATTGTCTGGTCAGAATTCGATTGTTTTCAGAGAGCTGTCGTATACATTGAATATTTCTGACTGCGACGTTAACAACAAACAGCAATGTTTTCAACATGTTCTCTCCCGTTGCAATATTGTAATCAAACTTCATTGCTTTGTTCTCCCACTAGGTGAAATCTTCAACTCGCGATATTTTACTGTATGTACTGTGGATAATATATGTCTTGTTTGTTTGTTGTTTAACGCCGCAATCAGCTATATGCCAGTTATTTCACGGCGGCCTGTAAATAAACCAGACTGAGTATGAGCCAGACAATCCAGTGATATCATGAGCATCGATACACGCAATTGGGATGCGATGACATGCATCAACCTCTAGCCTCTAGTGACAAGCACCACCACAACGAATATCCTGACATCCGCCATGTTGAACAACGAGGAAGTGAAATACCCAGTACGTGTTAAACGTTACGCTCAATGCACATCTACTGTGTGGTGTATATACACTTGCAGCGATGTAACTCCATCGTGTATTCATTTTTTTAATTTATGATATTTTCAATTTATAACAGCACTGGGTTAAGACAGATCATTAAACGACATATATCTCATGGTCTGTTAGGACTCGGAAATAATATTTACACTATTCGTAACAGAATACTACATATCTATTGGGAATACTACATACCGACATTGCCTTTATACATCTCGTCATTTTCACCTCGAGGGACTAACCTAATATGCTATTATTTCAATTTACAAAATAGCAGACAAGTAATAATTGCAGACTTAGATGTGCATAACTACGTTTCGTTTCGGAAGGAATTTCTCCCAGCACTTGTGTAGCACTAACAAAGTTATAATGTGTTTTCCGCACTGTCGCGAAAGGTGTGCATGTTTTAATTAAGCGCCATTTCATGATATACAGTCGGAGGATTGCGACACTATCGCGGCATTATAACAGTACAACATAGTAATCGTGTGTTCAGTTATACTTAAAAATATGGTATTATTTTTATTTAAAATCCGCCACTGAGGCCAGAGCGCCTAGGGCTACATTTTACTACATGTACATGTAGGTTGGTTAGTGCATATATGCAGCTATCTGGATACGCCAAATCCTCAAAGAATTCTACTAACACGTATTTTACAGAGATAACACGTTTTACTGAACACGTGTAGCGTTCGTGCATGTGTGTCGTTGTCCGTGCAGCCCTAAATGTCACCGTGTTCCTGACCCGTGAGGAACCAGATAGAGAAAAGGTTGTCAGCATCTCATGCTTGCCGGAAGAGGTACCAAACGGGATCGGGTGGTCAGGATCGAAGACTTGGTTAACACACGTCATCGTATCCCAATTTGTACAGATCGATGCTCGTGATGTCAATCACTTGATTGTCTACTCCGGATTCGATTATTTACAGACCGTCGTGATATAGCTGGAATATCGCAGAGTACGGCGGTAAACAACAATCAAACAAACTTCTTTCCCTTAGTGCACATGGTCTTTTCACGTCCTCTCTTCAGTGATGTACAAATATCACGAGAGACAAAACTATGGACACATCAGGACTGAGGAGAATGGATTTCAACTGGTAATAATATGGAATTACTCCTTCATGGGAGCTGTTGGACCCTGGCCAGGCAATCATGTGCTCGTGTGCAGGTGGCCATATATACCGTCCACCAGGTATATTGATACTGATCCCGCAGGCACTGTGGCTTCCAAGACACATTGAGGTGTGTATCCTTGAAACAACCTTTGCCGAGGGGCAGTCACTGTGGAGATCAAGCGAAGTCTGTTGTCTATTAAAAAGTAACCGGGGCGCTAATCTCGTCTCCATGCATTATAGGAATAAACACACATGAGGCTTCCTCAGATACAAGTGGCTTTATTTCTGACGCAAGCAGTCACAATTCACGATCTAGTTCATTGTAACTGGAACTATATCAGCTTGTGTACAGAGCAGCTCCTGATCATGATCCATGATCTTCTCTTTCAAATTACATCCCTCTTTAATCCTGTTGTGTATAAAAATGAGCCATGTCAAATCAATGTCATTGTTCAATTTTGTCATTTGAAGTATCATTGTGTGAATGTTATCCTTGTAAAAGATTATATTTAGAGTGTGCTGAGTCCATAATAATCAGATTCTTGTTATAAGCAATCACATCTGTCAACTGATGCTGAGAATTCCTTGAAGATGCAAAATGAATTGTTCGTCTATTGATGTGTCCCGGATGTGTCCATGCTCCTGGATGTCCAACGTGAGCTGTGTCTCATAATGTGATGGTTGTAAACGCCCGTCGAGTAACCTTATAAGCACAGGTGTGTGCATCAGAATACCGACTGTCCGTAGTATTCCGTCCGGGTTTTGTTCCTGCGACGACGCTCTACACCAAGAACGTCATAATACCGCCCTTCAACCAATACTGAATCAAGTGTATATAATGCAGTATCATGTATCAACATTTATGTACTGTGTTACACGTTTGTAATATGTAATGTAAGCATACATTATAAAGTTGCCAGGCACCCACTCTACTATTACAAGACTAGGGGAAATAATGGTACGAAGAACAAGCAAATATAGCACTGGGTAGCGATATATTAGGGATATATGTAAGTCCAAACTGTCCAGGGGGAGAAACACATTTCCATACACATCTTGATGTTAATCTTGAGTGGCATATCACTGACTGCTTGAATCTATTATGGAATTGCCTTAGAATTGAAACGACCATGTGGATTAGTTGATGTTCATCAATGATTTGATTATCCACTAATATGCAAAGTATCAAATGAATGAAAAGTGAACTGGACATGAGAGGAAAAGCAGTAGCTGTATTTAATAATTGATTTTCACTTTGTTGCAAGCTCCGACGTCCATAGAGTTTGGTCCTCAGTCTAAGAACGTTCATACTCTAATAATTTCATACTTTGAAGTTTACACTGTTTCTTTCATGCTGATTGCCTGAAAGGGTAGTCACGTGATCTGATATTTGGAGTTAATACACCTGTGAACGGACAAAAAAGAGTTCATACAATGTAAACAAGTTTTGTGTGAAATTGATCGTGTGCTCATATAAATTTATCGCATTGTTTGTAATAGATCAGTGAGGAGTTGGGGACACAGTTGTAATTATGATTTTAATACAGTTGATCTAAAGCAACACAAAATTATAAGAGGTTTTTGAAACATCTGAAGGTGTAGTATCCATTATTAGTTGAACAAAGCAACAACAAAATATATACGGAAAGACTTTGAAAATAAATATCCGAATTTTGAAAGATTTTACAAAATGGCCACACAAATCAAAGAATGCGGCTGTGTGAGTTTAGGAATGAGATACTCAAACACATTTTGTCACACAGTTCTCATTCTTTGTCATTGGGAGAAAATACTGTCAAAAGCGTTCTCATTCTCCCCTCCAGCAACATCAACCTGAACATAGAGGTTTAAGTGGCCACTCGCTAATGCTGTCACATTGGTAATTAGTGAAAATATCAACTCAGTGAGATGTCACAAATGCACTTGTTTGCAAATTTACACACACATATGATGATATTAACACTATGCCCTTGATACGTGTAACTACACAGTAACTTTACTTACACAGGTGTAAAAGAGTTATATAAAGACATTCAATCTTCACATTTTGAACAACATA